TAAATATTGTTTTTATAATTTATATAAAAATATACTATTGATTCAATATAGTATTTGTTTTAACTTTAAAAAAACACAAGCCAAATTGAAGTCAAGAATGGTGAATCTGGAACTGAAAGATTTCAGTTTGTATAATTTTTAAAAAACAAATGAAAATAATTCATGAAAAATGTAATAAATAATGTTTTGTTTAAAAAACATGTTCAATGATAATATGTGTTTTCTAATTGTCTTTGGAATTTACTTTTTTGTTCAAAAAAAACATATTGGCATTCAATATATTAAGCCCAAATACAAAATAGCCTTTATGGCATTGTATCAAAAACCTAAATGGCCTTCATGATGTTAAATCAAAAAGCCTTGGTGGCCTTTATGGTATGTGTATAGTAATTTGCCATGTCATTTAAATATAAAATTATATTTATATATACTATAGTAGCCATCGATGAATCAAACACCATGGCACAACCTGTGCAATGTTATCATTACATGGAAGATAGTCTCAAAACCAATATAGTATACCATGCAATATCTCCATATTTATATTCAATTAGCTGCTTTCATATATACATATTCACATGTACACCAACTGAAGCCCAAAGAGGCAACAGAAACCAGCAGCCATGGCAGAGACAGTGGACCCAGAGGCAACCACCAGTGATTCCAGCGAGTCCAACAAGGCCAGTTTGCCAGAGGGCCCAGCTATGCCCAAAGCCAATGAATCCATCAAGTTGGAGCCAGATTCCTCAAAGGAGATTCCAGTGAGGTCTCCAGCTTCGTCCCCAGAGTATGATCCATGGGCGACTCCAAAGCCCCATGCTGACAACCTGATAGACATACCCAAAAACATCAGCCAAGCCCATGGGTATGATGCCAGAAGGCCAGATGGGTTTGATAAGCCAGCGACAAAAAGAGCAGCAGCTTTGTTTTTTTGTTGTCCAAAGGCCTGCTTGGCTTCCATTTGAAGCGTGCATTGGTGACAGACATTTGTACCACAAGCCATATATGGCAGACAAAGATAAACTTCAAAAGCCAAATATGGCCACTTCTAGCAAAAGCAATCTTTTGGCCACATCTTACTTTTCTTACCATTCCCATGTCTATGCAACTCCTGGTAAAGTCATTCCTTCTTTCCATATTATATCCTTGCAAGTAGCTCTATAATGGTATATCACGAAGTCCTCCTTCACCTTGTACAAACAAGCTGTCACCTCTTCCTTTTGGCTCATGATAAAGTAGCTTTGGAAGTCAAACATCTTTGATTGAGCAGCTTTGGAAGTCAAACAGAACAGTTTGAATGACATATTTTCTTCTGGTTACCATGCCCGAAGCCAAACATGAGAGACAATTGCAATGAAGATTTTTTTCCCATAGAATATATCCAACATGCATTCTTGGCTTGAAGAGCTCTCACACCATTGCCACTTCCAAATACATATCATATCCTGTTTGTGTGTCATTTGACAGTAGCATGGACAGGATCCAGAGAGAATGGTTTGCCAGACCAGAAGCCCAAGACCAAGAAAGCCAAGCTGGCAGAGTTTTTACAATTCTCTTCCAATTTACCCAAGCATTCACAAAATGCTTTGGCAGCTATTCTCGAAAAGGCCAAGAAGTCTGGAATACCAGATCTACACAGTAGCAACCAACAAAGGGAAGCCAGGCTCCAACTTCTTGATAGTTGCCATGGAGGAGCTTTGGGTCCATTGATCCAGGACCACCACCACCACCATGTTTTTTGCCAACCTATTGGTTTACAGTGATGGCCATCTATCACCAAGATGGGGCATGGACCAAGCTTGTCCAGCAACACCATGCAGAATGCCCAGGCACCATCAGTGACCCATGGGGGTTGATTTTATATTGTGATGAAATCATCCCAGGAAATGTCTTGGGAAGGGCAGAAAGAAAGGTGTGGACCATTTATGCCACCTTTCTCCAGTTTGGGGACCATTTGTCCCACGAAGATGCATGGCTAACCATCAGTGTAGACAGATCTGCTTTTGTGGCCACACTGGGTGGTGGCATTGCCCAAATGATGGGCCATGTGCTGCAAAGCATCTTCTGTTGCCCCATCCAAGACCCCAGGCTTGGCTTCAGGCTGAAAGCCACCAGTGGAGACACCACCTTGTTTTTCAACTTATCCATGGTTTTGGCAGATGGTGCTGCCCAAAAGCAAGTTTGGTCCAGCAAAGGCGATTCAGGGACCAAGTTTTGCTTGTTGTGTGCCAATGTCCATGGCCAAGTTGCCAAGCATGTAGATGAGGGACCATATGAATTTTATTGTGCTACCACTCAATACAGCCAGCTCAGGCTTGTCACTGACCAGGAGTTGCTGGACAGCTACCAAAGATTGCATACCAGGTCCAGCTCTTGCACCAAGAAGGCCTTTGCACAGTGGCAACAAGCCACTGGCTTGACATATTCGAGACATGCCCTAATGTTGAACCAGCCATTGCTGGAAAAGGGCATAATCAGACCAGCCACACAGTTCTGCCATGACTGGATGCATGGAGTGCTCCAGGGCACTGCCCCATGTGTTCTCTACCACCTCTTTACCAGCTTGGCCACAGAATGCTTTGATTGCTATGGCTTCTTTGAAAAGTATTTCCAATGTTGGGAATACCCCAAAGGCTGGAAAGCAAGCCACTTTCACCAATTGTTTGAAAAGAAGAAAATGGAAAAATCCAAGAATGCCAGAAAATTCAGCTGCACAGCAGCAGAGTGTTTGGCCATATACCCCATAGTGAGGCATTGCATGTGCACCATCATTCAACCTCAAGGTTTGGCTGTGGCAGCAGTAGATGCTTTTTTGGCCATGTCAGAAGTCATAGACCAATGCCATGGTGGTGTGCAATGGAAAGCCACCACATGGCATTCCTTGTTGAGTGCTGTGGAAAGAGCAAATGCAGCATTTGAGGTTGCTTGGCCAGAAGAAACCATGATCAAGAAATGGCATTGGCATTTGCATCTACCAGATGCATTGTCCAGATTTTCCAATCTCCCAAGCTGTTTCACAGCAGAACGGAAACACAAAAGCATTTCAGCTTTGGCAACCAAATTGCAGAAAACCACCAGTTATGAAAAGCACCTCCTGCAGCAAGTGCTTTCCAATGAAATTTGCACTTTACAGCACCCAGAATTATTTCCCAAAGTTTGCCACATGTGGAAACCAAAGCCTGCCACCCAACAGGTCCAAGAGGCCATGGCACCTTTTCTGAACCAACCTTGCCTTCAAGCACAAAGCTCCACTGTTGCCATATTGGCCAGGGGTGGGCAAGTTTCAGGTGGAGATGCCATCATTTTTGAAGAAGGCCATGACCCCAGCAAATGGAAAGTTGCACTTGCCATCAAGCATGTCCAAGTCTTTGGCTTGCAAACCACTTTGGCCCAACTGTGGCCCATACAGACAATGGACCAATACCATGCCAAATGCAAGGTGACAGCCTCCAATGGGCTCATTCCTTTGAGCAATATTTTGTTCCCAGTGCCATACAGCCAAAGCAAAGGCCAAGTCACTGTGCTGTTGCCTTACCAGTGCTACAGTCGAAGATAGCAGGAAAAGGTCTGTGTGTGCAGCTGTTGTTTCCAGCCAGACATTCAAAGGCCATGGTGGCTCATCAAAGGCCAAGATGGCTTCTTCCATCAAGAAATGTTTGCAAATGCCTTGTGATGGCAAAACAATGTTAGACACACAAAAATACACATTTGTTTTTTGTTTTTTTTTCCAATTTGGCTTTCTTTTTTTTGGAAAAACACTTTGCTTTAAAAAAAATCTTCCTACCAAAATCACTTTGGTTCTTCCAAAAACATAAAACAAGGCTAGGTTTTGGAGAAGCAATTTTTAAAGTTATAACTAGTTACAAAGAGTTAGCAATTCAAGCTAATAATTATATAACTTATCTTAACTAACTTAACTTCTTATAACAAAACCAGGATCTCAAGCAGTCTTCGCTTCGACCCTGCAGCATCTGCTGAGAGATGTGCGCGGTGGCTCCGACATGAGTCGTCACCTACTGCCGCGCATGCTGCTGCGGTCCATGGAAATGCTTACCGAAAGACCAGTGTTGCCGCAGGGCTTCGAGTTGCAAAATGCTTTTGCCGAAAGAGAAGTGGAGGAAGCCACGACCATGAGCAACACACGCATTTCCTCCAAATGCCGTTTGCAGATGACGGATCTTGCTGAAAATGACTACGTACTGCACGGAAAGACCTGGAACCAGGCATGCAAAATTCATTTCTTTCTCGAAAGGGATGGACGCTTGTATTTTTTTCATTACAAGCTTGCAGCTAATTCATCAACCGGACGCGTGCAAACACTTTCGGATCACTGAGCATCAGCAAGTGCTCGCGTACGAAACATTAGACAACATGCACGTGCCTGCTTGGCAGACAGAAGATAACTGTCTGGTTCTTTTTCTCCCTTAAACGAAGGGAAAAAACATTAAAAAGGACAAACTTGATCGCAGCAGAGAAAATCACGTTCTTCCACCGCTGCCCCTTCAAATGATGCAAATATGTATGATTTTTGCTACAAAAAAAGATACGCAAGATATAACTTAAGATACAAAATCACTTAAACAAGTTAACATAACTTCAAGTTAACTTCCCTAACTCATTTATAACTCTCTTATCTTCAAGTTAACTTGGGGGCCTCACCTTGTAGGTGTTTCTTCACGGCAGGTTTGTTGCTCATTTCCACAGTTCCGGGCGAGTGATTCTAATCCAAATATACCCTGATTGATCAATGGGGTGTACACCTCAAAAGTGATGATTATATAGTTGCTATGAAGTTTTGATGATTTGCTACAGTTGAAGCCCTTTACCAGTTTTAAGTCAGTGACATAACCCCATATATGGAACGTTAACCCCATAAAAATAGCCATTTAGATCAACATGTCCAACTGGTTTTTCGCGCCATAACTGCAGCTTCAACCATAACTGCGGGGGTCCTTCAGGATGATTCACCATAAGAGACCCAAGCCTCGGCCTTCGCCAAGGATGATGCGAAGAAACATCTATGGTTCCAAGTTGATCGAGGCTGGGTGGACCTGGAAAAAAACCGGCTGGCGGATGCTCTTCTTGCGCACAGGCTGTGCCCTCTTTTTTTGCCAGCCTGGAAAAGATATGAAAAAAAATGAAAACAAAACATTGAAATAGTGATAAATTAATATAAATTAGATAAATGATTGTTCAATCTTCTGGGTGGTTACTACAAACCAATACAATGACTACCTTATTTTCACGTCACCAAAACCGCGCAGGTCAGTTCACCCTGGTCTCTTTGGAGACTTTCGAGCTGCAAAGTGTCCTTTGTCCCGAGCTGGAACCTTCCGTTGACCTGGGAGAGCGTCGCATCTTGGTTTACCTGGCGATCGCAGGAGATCTGGCCCAGAAATGTTCAGATTGCTCAAGATGGTTGTCGTGTTGGGTGAATTGAGTAACTGGTTCGTGGTTTGGAACATGAATTTTATGTTCCATAATATATGGGATAATCCTTCCCATTGACTAATATTTTCAGAGGGGTAGGTACACTACCAACCAGGTAATTAATTATGATCCACAATATCTATTAATAAACATCCCATTCCCCCATTCCCATCCAGTCCCTACTAAGCACCAGTAAGATTATGATCATTCTAACAAAAACATGGCATCAGTGGCTCAACCAAGTCAGTCATGAATCCATGCTTGACAATAAAATCTTCACCACACCCAGAAGGTTTGCACTGGATCTTAGATGATCTTAGATGGAGTCCTATTTGAGTGCTCACTCAGACTTACAACGTGGTGCCCAGTTCGGAATCGCTAAGTAGGTACAGAGTTCGCTTCAATAAGTGTTGGGTTGAGAAGGTACAATGTGAGGCCCCCAATTAAGATAGCTAAGTTGGGGTTCACATAACTCCAATTTCACTTTGGTTTACTTATAACTAACTAGTTACTGGGGCTTTTGTTAACCAACAAACATCACTGGGGGGCCTCACTAATTGTAGATATCTCAAGATAAGACACCCAAGATTCGATTCACATCTTGCGACTGACATTCACATTTCCAGCTGTTTGAGCTTCGTGGTGATCTGACAAAAAATATCTTAAGATCATTGCCATAAAACTTCCGTATATTTTATCATATCAACTATCACTGGTTGGTCGTTTCAAACATGAATTTCATTTTCCATTTCATATATGGGATAATTATCCTTCCCATTGACGAATTCATATTTTTCCAGATGGTTATTGCACCACCAACCAGTAATTAATTAATATTCAATAGTATAATTATACCATATATCAATATTAATATGGGAAATTCACCAATTATAGATATCCACTATATTTCTATAATGTGAGGCCCCCAGTTATAAGTTGGTTTTTAAGCCCCAGTAACTATAGCTTTAAGTAAACCATAGTTATTGGAGTTATAAACCAACTTAGCTATCGAACGGGGGCCTCACATTGTATACATCATCATGAAAACATCTATAGATATATCATGATATATATACACATATGACCATCATTTCTATAATTAAATAGATGTTCACTATCTTTCTATAATTAATATTAATTTGTTTTGTTTCAGCCCTTCCCAAGGCCTGGTCCGGTGCGTCCTGGACCCCGTGACGGAAGATTTGTATTTCTTGGTGGATCCTCGGAGAATGTGTCTGGGTCGGCGCGGTCGGAATCTAAGAGTTGGGAAATTCTTCCAGCCATCCTACCCGGCCTGGTAAACATACAAAAAACTATTGAAAATAGCCATAGAAATCATAGAAATAGTGGATTTTCCCATTGAAAATGGTGAGTGACAGTTTACCATGGTAAATTATAGTAAGGGGAATCATCCCCAAATGGCCGAACTATTCAGGTTAGTGAAATATTATAATTTACCCAGAGCCATATTAGTTTGTTGGTTAAAGTTTGTTTGGTTAATATGAACGTGGTATGGGATAATGTACATACGTATGTATATATATATATTAATTACCTGGTTGGTGGTTTGGAACATGATTTTTATGACTTTCCATATATTGGGAATGTCATCATCCCAACTGACGAACTCCATCATTTTTCAGAGGGGTAGGTACACCACCAACCAGTTACAGTAGTTATACGTGTACATGTATATCCATTTATATCCAGGATTTTCCAGGTACATGATTCATCATTGTCCAATATGGTCAAGCAAATGCCGTCACCATCTCCATCTTGAGGTTTATGAAATTTTGGGGTACCCCCAGTAACTGGAATGATGTCTATCCCAGGACCCCCCATGATCTAATGGATCACGGGATGGTTTACGGCTGGTTTACCCCAGTCATCACCAATTGAAAAACACAACTAAGAAGGGAACCATCTCCAATAGTTGATAACTGGTTGGTGGTGACTGGAACCATGGAATTTTCTGACTTTCCATAATATATGGGATAGTCATCCCAACTGACTTTCATATTTTTCAGAGGGGTAGGTACACCACCAACCAGATAAGGATGAGAAAATGATAACACAAGTTCCTTAGATTTATAAGTACCGGGCTGGATGAACCACAAAAAAAGAACCACTATCCCACAACCATTTGGAATGGGATGTTTCAGCCCCTCCGCTCTTCGGGACTTCTGGTGGTGAATGGAGGGATCAATTGGGAGCAATTAGGTATCCATATTCTACACTTATGACCATGTAGCCAGTGATTTTTATGGTTATTATATGTTTTTTTTCTGGGATGATCATAACTGGAATTTCGGGCTTGAACTGTACTAGGAGGCCAAGGAGCTAGAATCAGAGTGGCCCAAGCACATGATCCTTAAAAAACCATAGAATCTCGGAAGACGACATTGTTTGGATGCTGTTATGGCTTGAACTTATGTGGGAGTTCCCTAAAATAGGGCTACCCCAAATCATCCAAGTCATTCGTGCAGAGTTCCGACCATCTCACTGCGATCTCGCTGTACATGATGATTTTCATGTGGGATCCACCCAGTTTCATTTTCGCAAATATGTGATGATTGGGTTTCTCATGGTTTCCCACATTATCTATGTTTGTTGACTATTTCATAATTCGTTGGATTTTCCCATGAAAACCATGGAATATTCAGGGAATATTAATGCAGTATACATGATGGTTATAAGTTATTTCACGAAGCGCCCACAATTAAGGACGAAACACTTCAGCTTATATCCCCTCAAATCACCATTAAATAATTACCATTATATAAACCAGATTATATAAATCCAATTAAACACCATAAAATATCCCATTAAATCACCATTAATATTGATTGCAGCCTCCAATTGGGCACAAGTCATTTTTCGACTTTTTCAGGACATGGCGTTGACAAGCTTTCGCTCCAGATGGTCCACACCTTCCTGTGCAATCTACCGAAGCTTGTCGGACAAAGCTTCGCAGATTTGGCGCTTTCCAGTCATTCTTCAGACATAACATGTGTGCTTTCAACATTGTTTTTGCATTGTTCCCTTTAAGTAAAGCCACTTTTTTAGCATTGAAACGAAAAATGTCGTTGTTTCCTGCACGGACATGATCTACATCTGTGCTGTGCGGGAAATCCCCTGGGAAGACGGTGTTTTTGAAAAGCATCTACAAGGTGCCTCCAGTTCGAAGTTGGCTTATAAACCATAGTACTGGTTGGTGGTTTGGACCATGAAATTTATGACTTTCCATTCAGTTGGGAATTTCATCATCCTTACTGACGAATATTTAGTATTTTTCAGAGGGGTACGTATACCACCAACCAGGTTATCAATGGTTAATATTTACCACTATGATATGTTCATTATGGGATATGTTTCTTGGTTAATAATTAAATATAATTAATGGTTAATAATCTGGTAACTAGTTGGATACATCTACCTTCATCTACCTTTTTCAATCCATTGAAATTGGAGTTCTGTTCACTCACCAACTTCGCAGCCCAAGGTTTGCGTGCTCAGCCATCGAGCGACGGAACAGCGCCGCCATGCTATGAAGAGTCCAGTGCCTTTGCTGAAATGGTGCGGTTTCCTAGGCTTTATGGATTATATGTTGTATGTATGCAACGATATTATATATAATACATACAATATATATGTGATATATGTGTAATATACATAAATATATATATATATATAGGGGTTTCCTTTCCTTTTGTGAAGCACTTCTAGTGTTGCTTTTGTGAAGACCATGAGCTTGGGTCACACAAGCACTGGGTGATTGTATGATATTCCTCCTTTTTGAGCCTCTGATGCGCATACCCGGTTTTTGCGACATGGAGTGTTTATCCGTGGGCAATCGAAACATCAGATTAGGCCATGAGGCCAGCTGGAACAGGGCGTCAAAAAACTGCTTTGTTTCTACGATATGATGATCGGTTTCCTGTACCCCAAATCATTCAGTCAGACCATACTGGGTATTGAAACCCAGTTGATGACTTGGGGACCCCCTAAGAATCTCCAGTTGCTTCTCTAAATTTGAGACTCTCCATGGTTACCAACAACATCTTTCCACCGACCTGCCGTGGTGCTTTCCTGCCAGTGGAAACTCCAGCGTTCAGCGGAATCCCAGCGTTAAGGCTATGAGTTGATCTGCTGGGGAGACTTGGGCACCTGGGACACTCAAGATCCTGGAGCGAAAGCCGGTTCATTACAAGGGTTAATTATCATTGTCAACAATGAACCATTATTAGTCCATTTTGATTATTAATAATGATTATAATGGTGATTAATAATGGATTAATTATGGTTAATGATGATCAATAGTCATTAAATATTTATGATTAATGCCATTAAGATTGTGTTCCCGTTTAAAAACGCATCAAGACTAGGATTTTTAATTGCAACCTTTGATTACCAGAAGGTATGTGTATCTGTATATATATATATAAACGTGCCATGGTCAAGTAACTTGGGTCAATTGACCAGTTCTAACGGGACTGTCATCAATCCATGTTCGTCCCATTTCGTCCCATCATGGGATGAGCATGGCGCATGAGCTATGGACGATCAGCCCTCCTGGACGCAAACAAAAAACATTGGCTATAACACCCATGGTAAACCCCTGCAGTTATGGCCATGTTAATGATGAAAATGCAAGTTTTTAATGGTCATTTTTCTGGTGTCATTATTCACATGGCGCATCCCCATGAAGTACAGGTTGCGACTCAAACCCACTGAAATGAGCCGGAGCATAAATGCTTTGCATGGGGGTAGAGTCAGAAGACTTTGAGAAGAACCGAACGAAGCATTGCTGCGAACTCACTGACCTCAGGACAGTCAGGGAACCATTCCGGAATGAGGAATTTCAGGTTGGTGTTCTGATTCAGAAAAAATGCAATTTTATAGCTCCCCAGCTACCATAGGGCTGATTTCCCGCGGCCAATCATCTCATGGGTTGAGTTCCAAGCGCAATTTGTTTCGTGGTCAAATCCCTATTCATCTTTAAAATCACCTATAATTGCTAATTTCCCAGGTGAAAAACAAATGTTTTTTCCATGGGATCCACTGAAATCCATCGTTTCCCCAGTAAAACTCCCCACGTTCCCGTGATTTTGTCCAGGCATCGACGGCTTTTCGGACAGCTTCTGCATCTCCCAGCAGTGCTACGACGCTGCCAGCGACTCCCTCCTGATCTTCGATGCCGCCGGGAGGCTCTGGAGCGTGTCCTTCAACCAAGCGAGGTTTCCGGAGGCAAGGAGACATCGCCACCTGGCGATGTGCAGGGTACCTTTTTTTGGGGCTATGGTGTGTTACACAAAAAAACTCTTAGATTGCCCTAGATTATTGTTATTTTTAAACATTTTTATGGGCTTATCATTCCATTTTCATGGGGACTTCACTGACGTATAACTGGTATTTTGATTCTGATTTATTTTGGGCCACAACTGTAAGTTAGTAAATGGGTTACAGTATAGGCATACTTGGTTGGTATTCATAAGCCAGTTACCTGGGGAACTGGCCTATTTCCGCATGGCCCATATAAAGTTCATTAGAGTTCATTTAGAGCACCTGAGCACCCCCAAAAGATAACAGTATATAACAGTCACATACAAAAAATCCCATAGGATCCATGTATGGTATATTTACCTACATTTGGGTCATTTATGGGGTCGGTAAATGTTGGTAAATATTCCATACATGGATCCTATGGGAATATCAATTACTTGGCTTTCTTTTGAGGCTTACTGTAATGATTGCTATATACTTTTGCTTGGTGATAGTGAACGCAGCTGGGACGGTGACGGTGCGAGTGTAGCATCCAACAAATCAGACAATGACCTGTTATTTAACGTATCTATGCAACTCGGTCTATTTACCCTCTGGTAATTTAACATAGCTATTGAAAATGACCATTTATAGTGAGTTTTCCCATTAAGAATGGTGATTTCCCATAGTTATGTGGCTGTTTACCAGAGGGTAACGTATCTATGGAATCAAATTTTGATCCTATTTGTAAATGATGTCTGATGATTTTCCCTTTAACAAATGCTTTTTTTTCGTGGTTTTTTCGAGAGCTACGTGAAATCAACAGGGGTGACTTTATCCATTGACTCACCGGGTCTCAAAGAAAAGTTGCAGAACATCCATGGGATTTTTGAGCCTCCACCAGATCCCTAAAAATTAACATAATATGATATGTGACTAATCTTTTAGATATTAACAAATTCACAGAATATGAACAGATGAGTCAAAATATTAGCAACAAATTAACAGAATATTAACAAAATTAACAGATGAGCCAAAATATTAACAACAAATTCACAGAATATTAGCCAAATCCACAGATGAGTCAAAATAAGTCATATCATATTCGAGGGATGATCGTAGCTCATCGTAGCTCTTCAATCCTTTAATCGGACTGAACATGCCTTTTTGCGATCTCATGAAAGGTATATATATATATTATGATCAGATTACGAAATATCATCGCTAGGGGTTTTGTCTCAAAATGGGGATTTTCCAAAGTTCTACGATTTATTCTCATTGTCCTTAAGAAAACTATTGCCATGTCGGGATATCCGGGGACTTTGCCGGGACCTCCCCGCCCATTTTGGGGACAAACAACCGCGTCTTCCCCAGGTTGGGACTCTGTCAGCGATGGATTCGAGTCCAATGCTGATGGAGTCGATAGCTATGACATTCATGACTGGGACATCGAGCCTGTTCCTGATCAATGGGAAGCGGATCGAGACCTGAACCCCGGAGATGTCTGATATTCATTTTAAGCATGTTTTAGGGAATGAACGTCATGGTGAAACCGCACCCAAACGGGTCATGTTTGTGAAATCGAAGCCTTTTTCGATGATGCCTGCAGAAAAGACTGCGCGTGGCTTATGGAGTGACCATGACCTGGTGATGCAATTGATACAGACTTATACATGATTATATGTATCCCAACAAACTAGTACATTCAAACTATGTTCAGGGATCCCACTTTGGGGCAGTGCATCACCTTGTAGCGCCCCATCTCACTTGGGGATCCGTCCACGCCCATGTCCCTGTTTTGGTGGGTTTTCTACGGCAAACACCTAGAGCCAGCATTTTTGGGTAGCTACCAGCAGACGATGTTTTCAAAAACCAAAAGTCCCCCAGTTGAGTTAACCGCGGTTTGGTGTGCTGATTGATTATTTTTGGTAGACATCTTGATGCGTGATGGTATATAATAGTCCTGCTGCTGAACATTAGCTTCTTTGCCGGGTATCTAAGATCATATTCCCAATGCTGTCCATCTTCTGGCTAGCATGTAAAGGTTGGCCATGGTTTGTTGGTTATCAGTTTCCCTACTTCTATCCAAGATTATCTGGTTGGTGGTTTGAAACATTTTTTATTTTCCAAAATATATGGGATAATCCTTTCCATTGACTTTCATATTTTTCAAGATGTTTGAAACCACCAACCAGTTTTACATAAGCTCTCGTAAGATCACACTTCTTTCGTGCTGCTGTACATTTAAGTGGACCTTATACAAGGCCAACGGAAGCAGCAGAGAACACTCCAGCTTGTTCGGAAGCATCAAAGGCTGGAAATTCTGGGGTCCCTTCTTAGATTGTCCATGGGATTGGCGATTCCTGGTTAGCAATGGGGTTGTAAATATCACGATATCCCAAGTATAATCCATTTACTACCTAGTTAACTAACAAACCATGGCCCACCAGAATGGTTTTCGGTCGCGAAACCTGGGATCTGTGGGTTAAATGTAGCCTGGAAATGCAGAAATCCTTAGAGATTCCCATTGGGAGAAACATCCACATGACACAACCAGGTAGGCCATGAAAATTTGATGCTGAAACTTCAGGTCCGAAAGAATTGCAGATTCATCATCTTTTTGGCTCGTTGCTGGAGTACACTTTTCCAGCTTTCACTTTGACAAGAATCCTCTCATATTTTTTTCAAGCTGGATAGCCAACAAAATCTCAAGGCACAGTGTTTCGAAGCTGACCGGACTCAAAATGCACCCCAGTTTACCCCGCTGAAAGGCGGTTCAAAGTCAAACCAGCCTGGATGAGCTGCAATCCATGGGTTTCTTGGCCCTGGGGACATGGAAGGGACGGGACGCCTGGAAGTAACGAGGGCTAGCCATGTTGATTTGTGAAAACATCGCAATGATTTGTGGCAAAGATAAGATCATCGTTTACTGTAGCCCTGGGGAAACGTAGAAGTCTTCAAGAGCGCCCTTTTTGTCAAAGCCATATTTTTCAGTGGATTATGGGCAGGTCATTGGGAAGATGTCTGATTTCACATGGCCAAATATCCACGGTCTCAAACTTGACCCAAAAGAATCACATGTTTGGGGTACCCAAGAAGAAGCACTTGTTACACCTTTGAAGCTTGCGGTTCCAACAATTGTTTGCTTCAATGTGGCAAACCCAATAATAAGCCATCCCCGAAATCATCATAAACGGGTTGTAGACACCATCCCCAAATCATAGGTTTATATTAAAGAGCATTGGGTTTACCACATTAGAGATTGTATGGTCTTTTTGTGTCGTTTATGAACAGTTGGCATCCCCAAAATCATGTTTTTTCCAATTCAAACTGCAATTTTGATCAATTTTGGATGGGAGTAGCTCCTATTCTACGACAACCCCTCCTGATGCTTATTGGATGATCAGAGGCCAAGCATGACCTGCCACCGCAGGTTTTGCAGCGGAAGAGGCCAAAGAGGCCTTGGCAAAGAGCAGCTCCGCTTGCAACGAAGGGAGTTTTTACTGGAGCTATTTGAGTATTCCAATGGTGATAAGTGATGAACATGGGGGATGAACTACCAACAAATGGAATGATTCGGAATGATTGATCATTTGGGTAAATTATATATCAGCATCACAGTGAGATCACTGGAAATATTAGCTAGGATTGGGGCAAGTATCCAAAAAATGGCGCAACTTTTGTGGGTGAAGTGCCAAAGGTGAATCAATCCTCTTGTCAGCAAGGATGCTCTAGGAGGTGGTGCCCCGTTGTCTATGTTGGCTAACAACCCATGTGAACTAGTTCGATATATCTACAATTAATACCAGTAGTACCGCACAAGGCGGTGGCGGAAGTTTCAAAAATAGGAAACCTATAGGAGAGGTTGGTTGTTGTGAATCAGAGATGGCAGAGCGAATCCACTGATGGACCGAAAGGTGCTTGAGGTCTCCTCTCTTTCGCTCTCTTTCTCTGACTATCTACCTACCTACCTGTCTATCTTCTATGTATCTATCTATCTATCTATCTATCGATCTATCTATCGATCTATCTATCGATCTATCTATCTCTCTCTCGCTTTCATTTGTCTATCTGTCTTGCTGTCTACCTGTCTATCTGTCTATGTGTCTATCTATCTGTCTATCTGTCTACCTGTCTGTCTGTGGTGCAGCGTCATTCAGTGTAATGTAGTGTAGTGTAATGTAGTGTAGTGGAGTGTAGTGGAATGTAGTGTAGTGCAATGTAGTGTAGTGTAATTTAGTGTAGTGGAGTGTAGTGGAAGGTAGTGTAGTGTAATGTAGTGTAGTGGAGCGTAGTGTAGTGGAGTCGAGTGTAGTGGAGTGTAGTGGAGTGTAGTGGAGTGTAGTTGTGTAGTTGTGTAGTTGTAGTTCTGTGGAGTGTAGTGTAGCGTAATGTAGTGTAGTGGAGTGTAGTGTAGTGTAATGTAGTGTAGTGTAGTGTAATTGAGTGTAGTGGAGTGTAGTGGAGTGTAGTTGTAGTTGTACTTGTAGTTGTAGTGTAGTGGAGTGTAGTGTAGTGTAATGTAATGAAGTGTAGTGGAAGGTAGTGTAGTGTAGTGTAATGTAGTGTAGTGTAGTGAAGCGGAGCGAAGGGACATCTGAACCTCCAAAAGTGGTCCGAACCCCTGGTGTTTTTAGCATTTTGACTTCGAAATGTGCTTCGCGCCACAACGGCGTGCACTTTTTCGACATCGACAACTCCAAAAGTGGTCCGACGCTGAGGTGTTTTGTACATTTTGACTTGGAAATGTGCTTCGCGCCACAACGGCGTGCACTTTTTCGACATCGCAACTTCCAAAAGTGGTCCGAACCCCTGGTGTTTTGTACATTTTGACTTGGAAATGTGCTTCGCGCCACAACGGCGTGCACTTTTTCGACATCGCAACTTTCAAAAGTGGTCCGACGCTGAGGTGTTTTGTACATTTTGACTTGGAAATGTGCTTCGCGCCACAACGGCGTGCACTTTTTTGACATCTCAACTTCCAAAAGTGGTCCGAGACCGCCAGTTTTTAACACTTTTGACTTCGAAATGTGCTTCGCGCCACAACGGCGTGCAATTTTTCATCGCTCCTGTGGCCAGCGGGCCCGCACCCGCCGCTTTAGCGAGCCTACTTTTCGACCCTCCGGAGCCACAAATCATTGGAAAAACACAGTGTTTCGCGACTTTCCTACCTTTTCGCGCATCTGTATCTTCTGTCTTCTTACTCTTTCTCTTCTGATCTTCTCTCTTCTAATCTTCCTCTTCTCTCTGCCTCTGCCCTGCTCTGCTTTTCATCTCTCCATATTGTCGGAAGTTTGACTTCTAAACTTCCTTCGATAATATATATATATATAGTCATATATATATATAGTTATTTATTTATATATATATATTTTTTTATCCATTAGCCAACACGTGGCAGTAGTATGTTTGCCAACTTAGCCATTCAAAACTGGGGCAACACCCTGTAGACATGTCAAAGAAATCTCGCAACTGGTTCTAATTTATCTCAATTGGCAACATGCGACAACTAGAGTGGCCAAATGAGCCATGAACAAAATACCTTAGGTAGATACTGCTAATGATGGGATTTAACTACTCTGAAAACATGTGGTTTCTGATATGGGTTTGGATGATCAAAACATATGGAATCATATGGCTATATAACTTATACAACTGATCAATGATGGTTGATTGGTTAATGAGAAGCCTTTTTTTGCTGCCTGGGATAAACGGGAATTATTAGGCCCAGTAGTTAATATGATACCTGGTTGGTGGTTTGGAACATTTTTTTATTTCCCCCAATAGTTGGGATGATGATCCAATCTGACTAATATTTTTCAGGGGGTAGGTACACCACCAATTAGATACCTATCAACCGTATTTCATCGGATGGGAACACGGGAGACTTTTGATAGAAGCCGTGGTTTCGATGGTGCTCGCTCTCCATGGATTGGATCACGCTTGCCAATTGTACTGAAGAGACGCAGAAACCATTTTATCAAATGAATACATATATATGTATACATATATATATATATACACATGTATATATATATATATACATGTATGTATACGTGCATAATATATATATATATACACGCAACACATTATATATAGATTGGACCTCAACTTTTCGAGGCAACGATGACATGGTGGAAGCTTTAGCCTTTCTGGCGCAGCGCCACAAGAAACGACGCCGGAACGACCTGGAAGCGGAAGGCGGGTGCCGGTGACTAATGGGTTTGAATGGATTGTAAAAATTGGGTGTAAAAATGGGATGAAATGGGAGATATAGCCAACTATTATGATATGACTGTTACGTTAGATATTATGTATATATATACATATATACAATGGAGTGATCTAAAGGCTGTTATATTTGATGTAATATAGTTATCACTAAATACTAAACCAACAAACAAAGTCATTGCAAACGCAACCATAGTATATTAATGATGGATATTGCGGTTATTGTGTGGGATGTAATGATTCTTTAAGTGCCCCGGTTCGTAAACGCTAAGATTTGTGTGTCATCATGATATACCGTGAATTATGATATATCCATATCTTATCATATTTCTATATTATATTTCTTATCATCAACCACATGTCTTATATATCATCTCATATATCATCTCATATATCAATATCATCAATAGTAAATCATAAGACATGGATATAACAATAATGAAACATCTATTATATAATAATAACAATAATAATAATAAAATTGATAATAGTATAATAACAACAATAATGATAGTAATAACAGCAATAATAATAATGTATTATCTCGTTTTTTTTTCAGAAAGGGACGCTCTCAGTCCCCACGTTTCTCAGTTCCCACGTTTCCACATGTCTGGACAGACGACGTGACAGATTACATATGAATCTTTGTTAGGAAAAATGTTACGTCTACGGAATTCATGCTTATGAATCTGTAGTGTCACTAACAAGCAGACTTGAGGAACACCTGACTCTGATTATATTTCTAATTCACAGGAAAGAAAGAGCCACACAGAAAACAAACGAAAAAAAAAATAAAAAATTGGGCTGACCCCCCCCTCCCCTAGATGGGCTATCTTGGCTATCTTGGTGGCTCTAGGTGGCTCTCTGGGCCATCTTGTCTGCTACAGCCTCATATGGTATTCTTATGGGACTTCCACTGGGTTCTTATGGGATTTCTATGGTATGTCTATGATATTTCTATGGAATTCCTATGAGATGTCTGAGGGAAATCTATGGTATTCTTATGGGATTTCTTTGTGGTTCCTATGCTATTTCCATGTTATATCTATGATATTTCTATGGGGATTTCTGTGGGATTTTCCATGATATGTCTATGATATTTCTATGGGGTTCCTATGGGATTTAAACAGGATTTCTATGGTACTTCTATGATATGTTCAGAGGATTTCTTTGGGAATTCTATCGGATTTCCATGAGGTGTCTTGAGAATGTCTATGGTAGTTCTATGGTATTTTCTATGGGACTTCTATTGGATTCCTGTGGGGTTCCATGGTAGTTCTATGATATTTCTTTGGGACTACTATTGGATTTCTATGGGATGCCGATTGTATTTCTATGGGATTCCTATGGGGATTCAAAAGGATGTCTGTGGGATTTACATTGGAATCCTATGGGATTTCCATGATGTTTCTATGATATTTCTAGGGGATTTCTATGGGATTTCTGAAGGGATGCTATGAGAATTCTATGGTATTCTCATGGGAGTCCCATTGGATTACTATGGGGGTTCTAAGGTGTCTTTGTGATGTTTCTATGGGATTTCTTTGGGATTACTATGGGGTTCCTATGGCATTCCTATGGGAGTTCCATGATGTTTCTATACTTCTATGGGATCACTATGGGATTCCTGAGGGAATTCTATGGGATTCTTTAGGGAATTCTATGGGATTCTTTTAGGATTTCTTTGTGGGATTCCTGTGCTATTCCATGTTAATTCTATGATCTTTATATGGGATTTCTGTGAGATTCCTAAAGGATTTCTATGATATTTCCATGGGATTACTATGGGGTGCCAATTGAAAGGAAGTTGAAACCATTTCAAAATAAATTCAAACTAAAGTGAAAAAACAACATCCAAACATTTTTTTCAAGGGGGTAGTCCATGAGCAAGAGATGAATCAAGACCAAAGGTTTCCCAAAAAAGATGAACTTCAGCCAACCAACAAAATCCATGAATGACAATGATCTTCAATAGTATGTTTGCTGTGGTGGTCCTCTATTGTGTCCAGCTTTTTTTTTGGCAGTAAACATTTTCCAAAATCATGTTCTCCTTCCCTTTTCCTTTGCTAATACGTTTCTCTTTTTTACTTTCTTAGCTCATTCTTTTGGAATTCTCAAAATGTCTAAATGAAAAGTTTTTTCCTAAGGGTGAGCTTCAGCCAGCCAAGGGATTTCCATGGGATGTCTATGAAATTTATTTTGGATTTCTTTGATATTTCTATGGTATGCCTATTGGATTTCTATGGTATTCCTATGGAATTTCCATGATGTTTCTATGATATTTCTGGAGCAATTCTATGGGATTTCTGAAGGAATACTATGGAAATTCTATGGTATTCTTATGGGACTTCCAATGGATTCCTATGGGATTTCTATGGTGTTTCTATGATGTTTCTGTGATATCTCTATGGAATTTCTATGGGATGCCTGAGGGAAATCTATGGTATTCTTATGGGATTTCTTTGTGGTTCCTATGCTATTTCCATGTTATATCTATGATATTTCTATGGGGATTTCTGTGGGATTTTCCATGATATGTCTATGATATTTCTATGGGGTTCCTATGGGATTTAAACAGGATTTCTATGGTACTTCTATGATATGTTCAGAGGATTTCTTTGGGAATTCTATGGGATTTCCATGAGGTGTCTTGAGAATGTCTATGGTAGTTCTATGATATTTCTATGGGACTTCTATTTGGTTCCTGTGGGATTCCATTGGTATTGTTTAATATGATGTTTCTTTGAGACTAGGACTAGAAACTTAATCAGTGATAAATAACTAGAAAAAATAGTAAAAAGCAGCTAAAAATCACGTAAAAACTGGGGACCCACAGCGTCCCACACTCTTTTTTTTGGTGCAACTGTGTATTTTTGTTTAAAACACAAAACAACGTCACAACGTCCAAGGGGACGAGATTGCAGGGCCATCCAGGGAGAGCCTGGAGGTGGAGGGCATCCAATGCGCTCTGACGCCGGAGGACGAGCTGGTGATGCTGCTGGGCACCGAATCATCCTGCAGTTCCGTGAAGATCAATTAGGTTTTTCCCAAAAAAAATGGTGAATATATGGTTAATCCATGGTTAATATATGGATAATATATGGTTAATAATAGTTACCATGGTACAGTTAAGGCCCTTTACCAGTTATAAGTACTTATAACTCCATTTATAGAATGTATAATCCCATAGAAATAACCAGCTATAACTAATAAATGGCCATAACTGTACCCTCTGGTAATGACATTCACAGTTTGCGAACTGGAACATGGCCATTGAATGCCATTGAAATAGTGGATTTAGCCATTGAAGATGGTGATTTTCCATAGTTTTTTGTATGTTTACCAGAGGGGAAGGTGGTGTCCCTCCAGTTGTGTTGCTTGTTGGTGGCTTGGAACCATGGAATTTTATGACGTTCCCATCACATTGGGAATGTCATCATCCCAACTGACGAACTCATATTTTTCAGAGGGGTAGGTATACCGCCAACCAGGTTTGTTTTCTAAAAGAAACTAACATAACTAAGTAAGATTGATTAGGTAGATCTATCTGCCACCACAAGAGTTCTTGAAGTTATGACCATTTTTTAGCGGCATCGCTAAAGACCTCCGTGGGATGGCTGTAGCTGAAGCTTCCGCACCACTGTCCATATGTTACATATATATATATATGTAGAAAAATGATATCTAATAATTATATCTATCTATGATAGTATGTATATATATTATATATACATACATTATTATATATTATTATGTATCTCTATATATATATATATATATCTTCTCAACACTCCCTGTCACTGTATTTAAAAAGTGTCCAAAATGGTTGCTTCGCTGCTGTGTTCACCATTCCCATACATTAAGGAGTGTCCTACTTGAAGTTGCTGACATTGTTTACATCTATTCATTGTCACCATCAAACAACATCAACTGTCCTGAATCATATATATATATATATAGTATACATATATATATATACATATTATATATGTACACTATAAATACTACATATATATATATATATACAAGATATTTCGCTTCAGATATCACTTTTCCCACCTGCCTTTTCCCCGGTCCCACGTTGTGGGCCCCGTGCTCTTCCAGGTTGCTCCCGGGCGATGCCCACAGCGTGGGCCCCGTGGTGGGCCGGCGCCTGGGCGACGGCAGCCTGCGCTTCGACGGCATGGACGACTGGTTGGGGGAACTCTACGAGGGCCACAAACCCAGGGCCATCCCAGGCTGGGGAGCTGCGGAGCACCGAGGTGGCAAAATGGAAAGTAAGGTTAAATATATAGATGTTCCATGGTTTTTAGTTGAACGTAGTCTTACCATTGGTTTTTTGTTGAACATAGTTTTTCACTTTTAAGATTTAACGCCCAGTGTTAGCCCCTTAATAGCATTTTTAACATTGGTTATAGATCCACGGCTATAACTGGAACTGCACTTTCAGTCGTAGCTGATGACCCTGCTTGGGATCTCGAGCATCAGAAATCCTTCACAACGGTGTTGGTTTGGCAAGATTTGGTACGGAAAAAAAACTACGACTACGTGTTTCCTTGAAACCAATCCATTGATGTATGTATATATATATATATGTTATATTATATATACATATATATTATAGAGGTAAACTTTCATTGATACGCGGATATCAAGGCGGAGATCACCCTGCAGGGTGGGTTGAAATACGTTGAACCTGGAAGTTCACACAAACTTACCATTGAGCCCTCAATCTTCTAGTTTCCATCTACCATGTTTGTTTAAAACTCATATTACCCTCTGGAAAACATACATAAAGCTATTGAAAATGGCCATTGAAATAGTGGATTTACCCATTAATAGCATGGTGTTTTTTCATAGTTTTTTGTATGTTTACCAGAGGGTAAATCACCATTTTCCTTGTTTCAGTCGCCAATTTTCATCGGTTGCATCCCTATTGGCCCTGGTGACTTGGGCCAGGTCTTTTGCCCTGCTTCGACCTGGATGCGGCCGTGGCTGCCTTGGAGGACCGGGGCTGTTGAATTTTTGGGGGTACCATTTACCCTCTGGTAAACTGTCCCATAACTATGGAAAATCACAATGTTTAATGGGTAAATCCACTATTTCTATGGCCATTTTCAATAGCTATGTTTGTTTACCAGAGGGTACCATTGAAGTATCCGATTATGACGGGGAACTACCCCAATAGTACCACCTGGTAAATTAATTTGTTGACCCTGAAAATCACCAATTTTTAATGGGAACTAGTCTTCCAACCCCTATCTGCCAGGGTCTATGTTAATTTACCAGAGGGTAATTAATAAACTATGGTTTATTTTTCCGGGGTTGACATGATTAAATATACATCAGGGTGTGACATGCCAATTATATAATATTATATAGATTTATATAGTTATATATGTAAGTAAGTCACCCGATGAAAATGGAACGATGACCCGATTTATAACCATTTATCCTCCAGGAAATTAACATGAGGACCCTAGCCGATAGGGGAAGATGAGTTTCCACTGACAAAGTGTCATGGGGTCTATGCCAAGCAGAGGGGAACTATACATGGGAGCGTCTGAACATGGAGTATACCCCCAAGCAATTTTCCTCGGGAAAACGGATGAAATCCATTGGAGTTGGGGTAATCTATTCTTTCAGACGAACCCACATATATGCACCATATACCCAAATCTGGTCGGTGGTTTGGAACATGGCCTGTATGACTTTCCATATATTGGGAATGATAATCCCAACGGACTAAAATTTTTCAGAGGGGTTGAAACCACCAACCAGAAATAGATGTTTGTGAAACTTTAGCTGATATCTCATGAATTATCTAACTTTCAACCCAAGTTACTAGAGTTATGTTCACCAACTTAGCCAATGAACTGGGGCACCGCGTAAAGTTGTTTTTTTTGAATGTGATCTGAACTTCAGAGAAGCCCCTTTATTTGATGGTAAACAAGCACATTGTTTCCCGCATACGTTTCATTGAATCAATCCACTGAATGGTTTGTTGGTGGCCAATCAAGCCGCTCGAGGCCTCATTTGAAGGATTTTTCATGATTATATATTCACATGTGCTATCCACTATAAGTCCCAAAAACCGGACGAAATATCAAGCCTTTGTTTTGAACAAATCCATATTATTTTCTGGACTCTTCCCAGGACAACTCCACTTCGATGGGCCATGGGAAATATTAGTGATTCCTGGTCAGTGGGTTATAACTTATAAGTATCGCTATATCCCAAGTATATACTCCAATTATAATGTGGGTAAAACAATAATAAAGCACCCATTTGGGAATGGTAACCATACCACGTATTATTATGGTGATTTGGGGGATGGTTTGTGAAATTGTTTTTACCCACATGAACCCATTTACCAACTAGTTCACTAATGGTTGCATGGTTAATGGTGGTACCCCAGTGGTGTTTCTGGGTGAACTAAGCCCTGTTCCTAACTTTTATAACTTATATCATGTTTCCAATCATAGCATATTATAGCCATTATAGCCGTCATAGCCATTATAGCCATGATTGAACATATGTAAATCTTTAAAAAACATATAATGGGATAATAATCATCAATATATAAGCAGCTTGGTGGTTTGGAACATGACTTTTATGACTTTCCATTCAGTTGGGAATGTCATAATCCCGACTGACGAACTCCATCAATTTTCAGAGGGGTAGGGCTCAACTACCAACCAGTTATAGTTTTTTAAAACCATCATTAACCATATAATAACCATAAAATAATCATATATCAACCAGTATATTAACCATATATTAACCATTAATAACAGTATATTAACCACAATGGTAGGTATACCACCAATTAACAGCATATTATAGCCATCTGTCATCCCAATATTCTTCCAGTTAGGGCCGTTCCCATCCCAGGATGGTGCGCCCTACGTCTGGGACGGCTTCGCTGATGTCACTGAGATCCGCGCGGCGAACGCGGCGCTGGAAGAGATGTTCCGAAGGCAAGCCGCGCGGCGCGTTGGGGGATGAAAGCGCCCAGTTGTAGGCAAACAATAATGGTTAAGCATGAATATACGTATTGTTAAGACTTGTTCAGTGTATTTATAAGAACACACATAATGCATACATACATACATACATACATACATACATACATAGATACATACAGACAGACAGACAGACAGACAGACATACAGACAGAGAGACAGAGAGACAGACAGACATACAAACAGACAGACATACATACATACACACATACACAGACATACAAACATACATACGTACATACATACATACATACATACACAGACATACGCATAATTACGTACATTACATACATAACATGTATAACATACACACCATACATAACATACATAGACGGACATACACACACACATACATGCATGCATGCATGCATGCATGCATACATACATACATACATGGACACATCCATCCATCCATCCATCCATCCATCCATACATACATACACACAGACATACAGACATACAGACATACAGACAGACAGACAGACATACATACACACACAGACATACTTACAGACATACAGACATACAGACATACAGACGGACATACATACAGACATACAGACATACAGACATACAGACATACAGACAGACATACATACATACACACACAGACATACAGACATACAGACATACAGTCATACAGACGTACAGACATACAGACATACAGACGTACAGACATACAGACATACAGACATACATACACATACATACATACATACACAGACAGACAGACATACATACATACACAGACATACATCCATCCATCCATCCATGCATGCATACATACATACATTGCATACATTACATTTACAGCTTTACATTTACAGTACATTACAGTACATACAGTACATACAGTACATACAGTACATACATTACATAATTGCATAACTATATTACATTTAATTACGTTTCATTACGTTTCATTACATGTCATTACATTACATACATTACTTACATTACATACATTACATACATTACATACATTCCATTACATACATTACATACATTACATATATTCCATTACATACATTACATACATTACATACATTACATACATTACATACCTTACATACCTTACATACGTTACACACATTTCATACATAACATACAGTATAACATACATAACATACACACGATACATAACATACGTAACATACATCACATACATACATCGATACATGCATACCATACCATACCATATCATACCATACCATACCATCCATCCATGCATTTGCATGCATACATACATTACATTACATTACATTACATCACATTACGTACATTACATTACATTACGTACATTACATACATTACATACATTACATACATTACATACATTACATACATTACATACATTACATACCTTACATACATTACATACCTTACATACATTACATTTATTACATACACACATACACACATACACACATACATACATACATACATACATACAGACAGACAGACAGACAGACAGACACACATACACACATACACACACACATACATACATACATACATACATACATACATACACAGACAGACAGACATACATACATACATACATGCATACATACATACATGGATACATACATACATACATACATACATACATACATACATACATACATACATACATACATCCCATCGATGACTTCACATATTCCAGTATAAATTCAACGGTTGGGACCTCTGAGAAGATCATTCTCCAAGGAGTCGATTAGATAGCCTCTTTAATCAAACAAATTTTTGTCACAGGGATTGATGATATTGTAGGGAGGACCTACGATATGGAAGCGGCATACAGACAACTGCCAATACACCCTGACGATAGAGGCAAGGCCGTTATCTGCATATACGACCTGATCCGAAGGGAGGTTCGAGGTTTCGAGATGGCCACAATGCCCTTCGGTGCGATAGCATCAGTGCACGCATTCTTGCGAACTGCTGCTGCTGTGAACAATATTGGATGCAGTCTGTTGGGCATACCAATGACATCGTATTTCGATGACTTTACAGTGGTAACCAAGTCTGGGCTTTCAAAGGGCACTGAACTTGCGGTACGAACATTGTTTGAGGTGCTCGGGCTGAATCTAAGCACCTCTGACAAGAAGAACGTTGACTTCTCCAAGGTTTTCTCTGCACTAGGGGTGGCTTTCGATCTCCACAAGGGAGTTGGTAACTCATTTTCGATCAGAAACACTGAACAAAGAGTTAAGGAACTAGTGGAAAGGATCGATGCTGTCATCTCCTCGGGAAAGCTTGGGGGAAGAGAAGCCAAGTGTTTAAGAAGAACATATTACATTACATTACATTACCTTACATTACATTACTTTACTTTACATACATAACATACATAACATACATAACATACATAACATACATAACATACATAACATACATAACATACATAACATACATACATGCATGCATGCATGCATGCATGCATACATACATACCTACATACCTACATACCTACATACCTACATACCTACATACCTACATACCTACATACCTACATACCTACATACCTACATACCTACATACCTACATACCTACATGCCTACATGCCTACATGCCTACATGCCTACATGCCTACATGCCTACATGCCTACATACCTACATACCTACATACCTACATACCTACATACCTTACATTTACATCTACATTTACATTTACATTCACATTTACATTTACATTTGCGTTTACCATAACATTACATTACATTACATTACATTACATGCATACATTATATCTCATAATTCTGTTACATATATATAGGTATATTTAATATCTACAATATACAATATATATATATATATATATTTACATACATATATATATATATATGTACAGAGTTATAATGATTTACTTTTGATGACAGTTGGCAACCTCACTCCCCATGGTTTTTTGGCGCAGGCGGCAGCTGAGCCGCGGCTCCGGGCTCTGGGTGGACGAATGCACCGAGGGCGGCCACGCGCGCAACCGCAAGGCCCTGGAGACGCAGAAACGCGACGACACCTGTGGTTTCTGGGATGTCCAAGGCAGCCCCGGTGGATGGTGGTGGCTGGTGAATATATGGTAAATATATGGTAAATATATGGTTAATCCATGGTTAATATATGGATAATCTATGGTTAATAATAGTTACCGCTGGTGCTGGTTGGTGACTAACAGTGGGTTTATGAAATGATGAAATGATGGGGGGTTACCCTCTGGTTGGTGACATTCACAGTTTGCGAACTTGAAGCCATGGCCATTGAAATAATGTGAGTTTTCCCATGAATAGCATGGTGGATGATTCCATAGATTTTTGCATGTTTACCAGAGGGTAGGTGAGAGTTCTTATGGTGAATGTGTATTTTTTGACTCTATATGGATGCCTATGATAAAGAATTTCGTGGTTAGTTAATTCATGTTTTTTTCTTGGGGGAAAACTACATAGATATTTCTTGGGGGGGTTGAGATTTGAGTTACTGTATGTCTATCAACTTTCAGTGAGTCGGAACTGGGGCACCTTGTGGATGGGTGGACGCGATTTGGGATCAAACTTGATGCTGATTGAACACACTATTTGTTTGCGGTCATTTTAAGGATGGTGGTTGACGGCTGATTTAAGTGTGTTATTGGGCACAAAAACAGCCGGTTTCAGGATGATGAAGTAGTGGAAACCTGGGGATTTCATGGTTTTTGAAGTGGTGGGTAAGAACCAAATGAGCGTTGGACTACCGATGTCTGCTGGTTGGTACAGGATGGTACTCCTCCAGTTATATATAAGTTGGTTTATAAACCATTATAAATTCCATTAACATATTAACTATAGTTATATCTACCGTAAACCATAGTTAAACCACTTATAAGGCAACTTCGCTATCTTGGGGACCCCATCCTGTAGAGTTTGGAATTGATACACATGGTCCCGGTTCGGATAGCCTGAAGTTATTAGAATTTGGGTGTAGGTATTTTTAGATGCTTCTTGATTTACTCAACTGGTGTCTCTGACATGGCAGCAGCCCCTTAATCTTTTTGAATCACATATCCCTATTGTTGGTGTACCGAAATTTTTATCCTCAATCTTCTCATAGTGTTGTGTCACCATAAATAATCATGTACCTGCCAATTGCCAGATTTGTTTCTGCCAGTTTTTCCCTATGATTTGTCAACGTATTACCATGCAGTTATATTACCCTCTGGTAAACTAACATAGCAATGGAAAATCACCATTTTTAATGGGAAAATCCACTATAAAGGGCCATTTTCAATAGCTATGTTAGTCATAACCAGAGGGTACCAAGTTCCCAAGGTTTTTCCCCATCTGTGACTCTAGCCGCGCGTGAGGGGGCTCTCCGGCTCCCCCCGCGCCGGTGCTGTTGCTCTTTCAACGTCTGGAAGCGGCCGCAGAAAGGCGAGATTTGCGCGTGGCTTCTGGGAATCCAGGAAGGGTATCAACGACAACTCTCGGCAAGGTGAGGAACCCCTCAAAAATCTAAAAAAACAGAGGAAAGCGGCCATTTGATCCAATAAAACATGGGGATTCTATAGAATCAATAGCTAATCACGAATTAAGTTGACGCATATAACTTGGATATGAGATGTAGTTAAGGGCTTCAGAAACTAACTGATCATTGAGGGGCCTCACCTTGGTAATCGTGGCAATAGAAATTTCCCTTGTGTGGCAGGTTGTTTTATGGATTTTCCACTGCCACGGTTTGATGACACCGGAGGGTACGGTAGATACATGATCACAGTTTGACAATGATAATATGTAACTATACTTGGGGAACATAGTTGGGAATACGGTATGTTTTGGAATACATAATATATATATATATATGTACATATATATATATTGTGAAATGTATAGCATTGCAAGGTGTTTCTTCTTTGCCGACCTTTGCGAGTCTCAGCATATGCCAAACCAGCTTCCCGGGCAATTCCAAACATCACAGGTTGTTCCATCTTCAGCAAACGAAGGCTCAAAGGCCCCTTCAGAGGTATCGTGGCGGGTGGGACATTTTGCTTGATAGCCATAGCTACATCAGCGAGGACGCTGGATTGGGCGAGGCGCCCATTTTGCTTTGGACACCGGCAGTGTCTTTCCGCTTGGAACTTTGTGGCCTTTCGCTTGGGGAAAAAGGCCTCTTGCGAGATCAGGTTGTGGAGCTACCAGTGTGATTAAGTTCGCATTGGTAGCGGAGCCCCGCTGCCGAAAGTGCGGGAAATCCAGGGCGCCTTTGCAACAGCTGGATCACCATGTCAGGTGATGGAGTTTCTTCTACATCAGGTGGTGATGGCACAAACATGGTGCCGAATCAGATTGCGTCGCTGGTGCCTACATTTGATCCGTCCAAGGACGATTTGCAGGTGTACTCACAGAAAGTCATGTTGCTGCTTGATGCCTGGCCGTCTGGAAAATATACAGAACTTACAACACGTTTGATTCTGAATTGCACAGGGTCCGCATTCATGAAGCTGCAGCTGCATCAAGTTGAGCTCATGGAAAATGAGCGCAAGTCAGTGAAACGCTTGATTGAAATCCTTGGTGGCCATTGGGGTCAAATTGGACTAGAAAAGAAGTATGAGCATGCAGAACGAGCTCTATACAAGTGTGTGCAGAAACCGGATGAGTCAGCCGACTCTTTCCTAGCCCGTGCAGATATCATGTGGACAGAACTGAATAGCAAGGACCTCAAGTTGTCAGACCTTCAGGCCTATGTGACTCTTCGAGGGTCAACTCTGAGCGCGGATGACAAAAAGAAAGTCCTTGTGGATGCTGATGCTGCTGGGTCTGGTGACCTTTCTGTACAAAGGGTGAGCAGTGCAATCAGGATGTTGGGAGCAGGATTCTTCCAAGACATGACAGGTGTGAAGCGAGGGAAGTTGAAAACTTACGATCAGGCCACTTTGCTTGCCGAAACGGCCGATCATGATGAGGATGTGAACGATGAGATCTATGCTGCAGAAGGTGAAACTGTGGGAGAGGATGAAATGATGGAGTCCCTGGTCAGTGAAGGGGACACTGATGCGATTTTCGTGTCAGACTATGAAACCGCAGTTTCAGAGGTGATTCAAAATGATGAAGATCTTGCCGCAGCGTTCAACACCTACACAGAGGCAAGGCGTCGACTGAGTGAGAAGTTTCGTTTTCGTGGTTTCTGGCCAGTGTCGAGCAGTGGAAAATCCAAAGGTCCTTTCAAGGGTCGTGGAAAAGGGAAGTTCCACAAGGGACATTCGTCATCTAGGAAGTCACTGGAACAACGAATTTTGTCATCTCGTTGTCGCCTATGCAATAAAGTAGGTCACTGGAAAGCAGAATGCCCAGAGAGAAGCAGCCGTGCATCTCAGCAAAGTACATCCGCTCCCACCACGTTCGTGAGCACTGATGCCACACTGCCCATGGAGTTCCTGCAGATCCCTGTGAATGATGCCAGCCCAATAGATGAGCCTCAGTGTGAAGTAAGTGTTTTCAGTTTGTTAGGCCAAGAGGATTTCAGGGGTAAATTAAGGAATTCCCTCAATAATGTTCGGGTAAGAAATCCTGTGTTCACCTCACGCTTGTTGCCACGTGTGAGGAATGAACATGCCTGTGAAGTGAACCACGAGCCAATTGCTGAGGAACCTTTGCTGTTTGCCACGCACAGTAGCCTGGGTGTAGTAGATTTGGGTGCCACAAAGACTGTCATTGGAAGTGACTTAGTAGCCGAATTGATCAGTAACTTGAAACCAGCTGTTCAAAAGAAGTTGACGCGTTGCCCATGTCAAGTGACTTTTCGTTTCGGAAACCATGGCACCCTACAAAGTCAGCAGGCACTGGTAGTTCCCTTGAAGGATATGTTGCTCAAAATAGCCATTGTCCCAGGGTCAACTCCTTTTCTCATCTCCAACACCTTGCTACGTGCGTATCAAGCAGTGATTGATGTGGAAAAACATGTGATGTGGTCAAAGAAATACCAGTGTGAATATCCGTTGCAACTGACTCCCAAGGGTTTGTTTTTGATAGACCTGAATGACTTGGCTGACTCAACGGTCAACAGACCGGAAAGAGCCAGCCTTGCTGAAACTCACCTGGCCGAGACGCCGCAGCCAAAAGAAAGCCAGGAAGACTCCGGATCTGTGAAAATCCCAGAAATTTCAGGTTTGGTCAAACAGCCTCAACAGGAATCAGCCGAGAATGCCAGTTGCAACATTTCCGAACCTATGCCAAGTAGTTTAACCGAAAGCCAAGTCCATGTGCAGTCATCGTCTCAAGTGAAGGTCGTGCCCCGTGTCCATTTCCAGTCTCCGTCCAGTGTTTCCCATGCCGTCGTTGATCGACCGCCTGAAGAAGCTGCAAGTGCCCCAGCCAGAAGAACTGCCAGATTTGACGAAGTTTTCACTGGAACAGATGGATCAGATGAAAGTGGAATTCGGGACCAAGCACATGGGACACACGTTCCTGGACGTGTGGTCCAGCGATCAACAATGGATAGCCTGGTTTTTGAAGCACTACCACACCAGCACCAAGGGAGTTCATCGCACCATGATCAAGTACATCGAGCTTCGCATCGAGCGGGCAGAGCTGGAGGGTCAGACCATCCCGGTCACCGAAGCACAGCCTCAGGTGACAAAGGGAACCAGTTCCATGGAGTCTGGGAAGCCTTACCCGGGTCTTCTTCCCAAAGCCAAGGCTGCACCATGGTTCCTGCCGGAGGTGGACGAGATGTCAGTGTGGGATGTGACCAGCCAAGCATCAGCCCCAATCGAAGCCCCAGAGATCCCGCCACAGCTGGAAAATCGAATGCAACAAATGGAAGGTGCTATCCACTCGATCCTTCACCACCTGGAGATGATGGCCAGTGGACAAGGTCAAGTGAACCGTGCCAGCAGCGTAGAACAGTAGATGCTGAGTATGCTGAAATGTCAGGACTCATGGCTGCTGGAGAAACATGTCATGATTGTCCAAACATGGATCATCTTGCTAAGCAGTCATGCCAAGAACGCCAGCGCTTTGTTGCTTTGGTCAATCAATATTCCAAAGAGTTGCAGCTTGCCCTAGCAGAGCCCTGTCCGAAGCTGCGATCCAAAGGCCAATTGACCTTGCTGGAAGTCTTTTGCGGTCCACAAAGCCAGCTCACGCATCAAGTGCAGCAACTCGGATGTAAAGCAGAAAGATTAGGCCTTGCTCAATGTGATTTGCAACAAGCCGACGGTCGAAAGCTTTTGTTTCAAACCGTTGCTGCCAGAAAGCCTGAGCACCTGTGGTTTTCTCCATCCTGCGGACCATGGTCAGGATGGTCCACACTAAATGGTAGCAAATCTCTCCAAGCATGGGACAATCTGCAAGAGTCGCGTTTGAAACATGTGGAACAGATCGCTTTGGGTCTTGTGCTTCTCAGGCATCAGCGAGGTGTCAACCACCACCTGCACTGGGAACAGTCCCAGGCATCACTGATGTTCAAGTTGCCATACCTGCAGGAGGTACATCAATATACCATGGCCGTGGATTTTGACATGTGTACTGCAGGTAACCTTCAAGACCCCGAAAACAAGAAACCCATAAAGAAGGGAATGACCGTGCTGTCCACTTCAAAGAGGGTGATCCAAAGTTTACACAACAAAAGATGCTCGGGAAACCATGACCATCAAGTCATAGAAGGGTCCACGATGGTCCATGACCAAAGGATGAATCGATCAACTTACTCTGAAGCATATCCCCGGAAGTTTGCCCGAGACATGGCCAAGGTGTTGTGCAAGTTTGTTTATCCCAAAGAAAGACCAATTGCCTTATGCATGTTTGTTGGAGAGTCTCCTGCGTTGGTGAATGAACCTGCCATGAAGCGACGCAGATTGTTCGTCCAAGCAAAGCCGGAGCTTTCCAGGTCATCGGAAATGACCGCTGACATGCCTTTGAAGAGGCGCAAGCTCGATGGAAAACAAACATGCCAAAATGCCCTTGACGCCTGGACCAAAGTATTTGACATAATAGATCAAATGTTGCCCAGAGTAGGAAAGAAGGAAATCAGGGAACCCAGTTTGCTTCAAGAACTGCAAAGACTCTTGCCTGACATGATCATCAAGTTTGCCATTGGTTGTAGAGGTTCCAGCCGTACCATTGCCCCCATCAATGAGATTGCACCACAAGAAGCACCGTTTAGAAAATGTGCATATCTAAAAAAGGGAACCAATCGCATTTTTGTAGAGGATCAGTGGGAGAACTGGGAAGAATTAGCCAAACGCCAGAGAGTTCGCCCATCGCATGCCAGCCGCCTCAATATAACGGTGTTTGCTAGTTTGCCTGGAGAGAATCACCATGAAGTGGAATCAACCGATTTCCCAAGCCCAGTTCCCATGCCACAGCCGAGCTCGAATGAGCAGCTGCAGTCCGGACCGTTTCCGGCAGATCAGACCGACCTTGTGTCCTCACCGGATTCAAGAACCAATATGAAAATCAACCATGATAAACCCCATGATAACGTTGCTTCACATAACCACCCCATCAATTTCCCTAGTCCACCCGATAACGTAACCTTACCTGACATGTCAAAAGATAACATGCCACATGAATCCATGCAGAATCTCTCCAAAGAGGACCAAGCACTTCTACAGAAGATCCATAAGAATCTCGGTCACCCCAATCCTGAGAGGTTGAGCACCATGCTTCTGAAACAGGGATACAAGCCAGAGATGATCCGTGCGGCCAGACATTTCAAATGTGATGTCTGTATCCAAAATTCCCAGCCCAAGCATGCTCGCCCGAGCACACTCAGGGATGACTTGGAGTTTAATGACCGAATTTCTGTGGATGGTTTCACATGGACGAACACCAAGGGTCAAACATTCCATATGTACCATGTCTTGGATTGGGGAACAAACTTTCAAGTTGCCAGCATCGCCCCATCAAGATCTACGGAGGACTTTATCAAGGCCTTCACCAGCATGTGGTTGTCATGGGCTGGTGTTCCAGGTGAAATCTTAGTGGATGCCGGATCCGAGTTCAATAGCGAGAGTTTCATGGAGTTTTTGCAGGGACACAACATCAAGGGTACAACTATAAGTCCTGAAGCTCACTTTCAAAATGGAAGATCAGAAAGACATGGAGCCATCCTACAAAGTATGCTGTCAAAATTCAACACTGAGCATGAAGTCACAAGCTATTCAGATTTGCAGAAAGCCCTGTGGTGGTGTGTTCAAGCGAAAAACGCCTGCAGCCTTAAAGGTGGTTATGCACCGGAAGTGCTGGTGTTAGGAAAGCACACACGCCTGCCAGGTTCAGTCAGCAGTGATACTCTCTTGCCAGCACACATGCTTGCAGAATCTGAACATGCTCAAGGGTTGAAATTTCGATCTCAGCTTGCAATGAGGGAGACGGCTCGAAGAGCCTTTCATAGTGCTGACAACGATTCATCACTGCAACGAGCTTTACTACGCCGGTCAAATCCTCACCGAGGATTTTATCAGCCTGGTGAATGGGTCATGTCTTGGCGCGAAGGCACCGGTCAACAATCGGGATATTGGCAAGGCCCCATGAAGGTAGTTGTTCATGAAAATCAACAGACCATTTGGGTGACGATGTCCAGCAAGTTGTTTCGCAGTGCCCCTGAACATGTTAGGCCAGTGACCTCAGAGGAAGCCAAAGGCATTGTTTGGACCCCTGATGAACCAAACATCTCCGAAATTGCCAAACAGCTTCCGCGTGAAACCACAGGAAGCATAACCAGGTTTGTGAATGTAGATAGCTCCAGCTTTCCAGAATCATCAGCTGTCCAACCGGACGGAACTCATATCGAACCAAGCCAGAATCCTGTACCGCTGTCATCCAGCTCAGGCATTGAAGATCAACCAGATCAAGAACCAGATGCCCCAGCTACCCCATCTGAAGAGGGTCCTACAAGGGGTTCAGATGAAGTACCAATTCCCGATAAACCTGAAGAAATCCCTATCCCCGATGAGGATGATGATGATTTAGTTTGTGAAGGATTGTACTGTCAAGATATAGATCAAAATGCACTGGAAGACCTTGGTGAAGGTTTCTCATGGAAAAGTGAAGTTCTTGTCAGCGAAGCTGATATTCAGTCGTGGCGACAATCCGAATCGCCGGGCGAGATGGCATTTTTAGTGTCTGCTGCAAAGCGACAAAGAGCAGAAGTCAAATTGACAGAGCTCTCTGCATCCGAACGTGCGGAATTTGCTGCTGCTAAGGATGCCGAGGTTTCCAATTGGTTGAAGACAGGCACAGTTCAGAAAATGTTCCGAAACCAAATTGCTCCTGAACAGATTCTTCGATGCCGTTGGATCTTAACCTGGAAACCTGTGGATGAGGCGGATAGAGACCCCAACAAAACCAACAATGCTCGAAAGGCCAAGGCCAGACTTGTCGTGTTGGGTTATCTTGATCCCCAAATCACTGAAATGCCAAGGGATTCTCCTACCTTAAATCGCCATTCCAAAATGTTGCTACTTCAGTTAATTGCCTCCAAGTCATGGGATTTGAGATCATTTGACATTCGTGCAGCATTTTTACAAGGAAAGCCTCAGGAAGGAAGAGTCCTAGGACTTGCACCTGTGCCCGAACTTGCAGCCAAAATGAACCTTAGACCTGATGAGATTTGCCGCTTAACAAAGAGCGCTTACGGTCTCATCGATGCGCCATATCTCTGGTTTCAAGCCCTCCGCGAAGAACTCCTGAAGTTAGAGTTTGAACAATCACCATTTTGTCCGTGTACCTTTATCTTGAGAAATCCCAAGACCAGAGAGCCAGATGGAATCTTGGGTGTTCATGTGGATGATGGTCTATGCGGGGGGAATGAAAGATTCATGCTCAAGCTTCAACAATTGGAGAAAGTATATCCCTTCGGATCCCAAAAGCTTGGCAACTTTACTTTCACTGGAATTGAAATGTTTCAACATCCAAACAAGAGCATTACACTTTCCCAAACCGAATATATCAAGAAAATTGCACCAATCAAGATCACACCCGAACGTAGAAGGGATGAGACTCTCCCGGTGACACCAGAGGAAAAGATGGCCTTGAGAGGTCTTATCGGAAGCCTCCAATATGCATCCGTTCACACCAGACCAGACTTGGCAAGTAGGCTAAGCTTCCTGCAATCAGACATTAACCAAGCCACTGTTGAAACCCTCATGAATGCAAACAAAACCTTACATGAAGCCAAACGTCATTCTCAAGTGTCAATTCACATACAACCCATAGCCTGCCAAGACCTGCGATTCCTTGCATTCTCTGATGCATCGTTTGCATCCAAAAAGAATCCGGATTCCCACACTGGTTGTATAATCATGAGTACTCATAAAGATATCTCCAGAAACACCACTTGTCCAGTAAATCCGATGTCCTGGGGTTGCAAGAAAATCCAAAGGGTTGTAACCAGTACTTTAGCAGCCGAAACAGTGTCACTCAGCTCAGTTTTGGATCAGCTTTCATGGATTAGACTCTGTTGGGCATGGATGTTGGACTCAAGTGTAAGATGGCAGAAACCCGAAAGAACTCTCCAAGGCTTACCAGAATCATACTCGACTGCCACTGTCAAAGCTCAAATGTTGCCTGAAGACACTGTGGCCACAGACTGCAAAAGCTTGTTCGATTTGGTGAGCCGAACTGCCCCACCATCATGCAGTGAGTTCAGAACCCAGCTGAGCGCGAGATATATCAAAGATCTCCTGGCTGAAAATGTGAATCTCCGATGGGTTCACTCCGGAGCCCAACTAGCTGATGGGTTAACGAAGATCATGGAGAACAGTTTTCTGCGTGAAACACTTGAAAGTGGAAAGTACCGGTTAAATGATGAACTTGAGATATTGAAAGCTAGGTCGGACTCTCGAACCCGCCTGAAATGGCTCCGTTCCCATGGTGATATGAACACCTGCAATGCCCAGAACACTTCTCGATCTCTAAGTTTTGAAACTTTATAGAATTTTTGGGAGTGTGAAATGTATAGCAGTATAGCATTGCAAGGTGTTTCTTCTTTGCCGACCTTTGCGAGTCTCAGCATATGCCAAACCAGCTTCCCGGGCAATTCCAAACATCACAGGTTGTTCCATCTTCAGCAAACGAAGGCTCAAAGGCCCCTTCAGAGGTATCGTGGCGGGGGGGGCATTTTGCTTGATAGCCATAGCTACATCAGCGAGGACGCTGGATTGGGCGAGGCGCCCATTTTGCTTTGGACACCGGCAGTGTCTTTCCGCTTGGAACTTTGTGGCCTTTCGCTTGGGGAAAAAGGCCTCTTGCGAGATCAGGTTGTGGAGCTACCAGTGTGATTAAGTTCGCAATATGTATATATATATATATGTACATATATATATATGTATATATATATATGTATATATATATGTACATATATTTGGGGTTATTATATAACCAATGTATGGTGGTGCTCCACCAGTGATGTTTGTTGGTTTATGTCCCTCACCTTCCATGGATATATCATGATATATCTACTCTAAACCCTAGTTGATAATTGTGGGGCACCACCTTGCATCATCACAGTTTGACAATGATACTGTTAATTAACAACTGGGTGATACTATTAATTGTAATTCACTGTTGTGACTACAAATGGAAAGTGAATTATATCAGTACCACCAATTATCAGCATCATTGTATGATTCATTCAAAAAACAAACTAGCTACTAGCGACCAATATTATTACAGTAGTTGATTACCGGAGGGTGCTATATACATCCCATACAATTCCCACACCCATACTGTTAGCATGTTCAATTGATAAACGGCTGCAAAAAAATGACAACTCAAACAATAGTAACAATATATGTATATGTATATATAACTATCTGCCTGTACATATGTCTATCATTTTGAGAGAGAGTTACTCGCTCGCAAAAAATCATCGAACTCAACATCTGAGATATTCTTCAGCCACGTTTGACTCCCGAAGACGATCACTATTTTGGTCGGATCAATAGCGCTTCTATCTGCGGGGATCACTACTTGGAGGATCATCCCACTTAGCAACTGGTTTTCATAACCGGACTAACTCCACAAACCATTATGAAAACCAATTGTGGATTACAAACCCTATAATTAGTAAGTCCCACTAACCTCATAACCCTATAACGGACTAATTATAGGGTTAGTAACCACTTACCATTTGGATGATCCTCCAAGCTATACATCCCTGTCTTTCCCCGGTCGACGCGTCGTCAGGTTCCGGAGCGCCTACGGTTGGCCCCTGCTGTGCTCGCGCCTGGGCATGGCGGCCGTCTACGATGGGCAGGGCGCCTGCTATGAACAGCACCGGGAGACGCGGCGGCACCGGTGAGGGTGGTATAGATCGTTACAATGAGTGAGGCCCCCGAATCCGATAGCGTGAAAAGTTGGTGAAGATAACTCCAATTTCACTATGGTTTATGGTACTCATGTATGTACTTATAACTTATAACGAACTAGTTACTGGGGCGAATCTAAACCAACAAACATCACTGGGGGGCCTCACATTGTATAGATCCATGGTCAACTGGGAAAATAAGGGGAAAAATCCTGGGAGAGTCATGGGACAGGAAAATGGTGGGAACAACTACTGGGAAATTGATAGGAAAATGATGGGAAAAACTATTCATCAATGGGGCTTTGTGTAAAAGGAGAAGTGGGCTGCATGCCTTTTTTCCAACTTGGGAGGTCAACTTTTAAACCTACCAATAAACCATCTAAAGTTGGTAATATTATACTCCACTAGACAAAACGGCCAGAAGACGAGGTTTCGATTGACTTGCAACTGCCGAAAATACTGGCTTGCAATGGCTTGCAACCAATTTGTAAACCTTTGTCCGTAAGAAGGCTCGACTACTTCCTTTCATCCAAAAGCTAACAACCATTTCTTGGTCCAACGGATGGACGTCCAACGGGGTACCGAAGCGGTTTGGCTAAAACGACACATGCCAAGGACAACGAGTGGCAACGACACCTGACCTCTCGGACACCCAAAGGTGCCATGTTCAGCAGGATTTCAGTGAAGTTTTCAACATGTTGAAACAACAAAGCTGGTGATTTGGTTGGTTTTTATACAACAAGGCTGCGTTCCATATGGATTTTGGAGAGATTTCACAGGGTTGAACACACGTACCGTATTTGCTTCTAATCATTTCTAATCAATGTCCCATGGAAATATCAATTTATAGCAACCAGCAAAATGATACAGAATTCAATTTGGCAACACTTGAGCCTAACATAGTGGTATCATAGTCGTAAAGTTCGCCTTTTCTGTTTTCTTGGGGGTATCCATTAATCCATTTATTGTCATTGTTATTGTTATTTCAACACAGGTTGAAAGGTTGCTTCAACGGGATTTGACCTTTGCGGGATGGCCATCCCCGTTGTGGTGAGGTTTGTTGCCCAAAAGTGGCAGCGAAGCCAAGCAAAGACGGCTGGACTTCGGTGATGTTCCTAGCGCCTTGACAACGTTGAGGAAGAGCCAGGGCCATGGGCGTCTCCGAAATATGGTATAGGAGTATAGGACTTCGACCTCAATGCGAAGTCCTTGGAAATTGCGGTGGGTAGGGGAAATCATCAGAAAAATGCCCTTATTTGGGGGTTTGGGATGTATAATTCAGTCAGAATGATTGGATAAATTTCTTAATCTGCATATGAAAAATCATCATATCAGAACGATGATTTGGCGACCCCAAGGTATCACCAAAGCTATTTGTCATTTGGAAATTCTTTTGGGGTCCACCATTTTTGCGAAACCCCAGTTGATCCCTGGTGTAAGTCCTGGTGGTTATATGTGATCAAAGCAGCAACGAAAATAGCGATCTTCACCGCTAAATTGTTCAACGGGATCCTGTTTGACCACCCCTAAATTGCCTTGGTAGAATCAACGGGACCATGCTGTTGACTGAGAATACTCTCAAGAGTGAGCAGCTTAGCCGCTATCGAAATTTCGTATTTTTGCTAGGAATGTGCTTAAAATCATACAAAAAGACGCAGGAAGGTACGGGTTTAGGTCGAAACATGAGGTAATGGACACCAAATTGGTTTGACCATGTTTGACCATCCTTGAATAAACATAAACTCACCAGGAGTTTTTTCGAAAGTTTGGGGGTACCCTGCGGTGCCCTCCAGCAAACTCACATAATATATGGAAAATTCATGAAAATTCACCATCTGTACAATGTGCCACCCCCCAGTTATAACTTGGTTTAGATTCACCCCCATGAAGTATAGTTATTTGCGTATAATAAACCATAGCTATTTCCATATAATAAACCATAGTTATAAGCCCCAGTAACTATAGTTATAAGTACCATAAACCATAGTGAAGTGATCTTCACCAATTGAACGCTATCGTTCGGGGGCCTCACATTGTACGCAGGTGGGGCCTGGATGAATTTCCGGGAGCTGACCATGTCTCGTGGCTTTTCATAGTGGCGCTCCTATTGGATCCATCGTGCTTTAGGGCGGTGAGTGAAAGCAGCAACGTGCCCCCCAGTGATGTTTGTTGGTTTACAAGCCCCAGTAACTAGTTCGTTATAAGAACCATAAACCATAGTTATTGGAGTTATGTTCACCAACTTAGCTATCTTGGGGGCCTCACATTGAGGAAATACATGGAAATACCAGTTGTGAATGGTTATAGAATGGGGTGATCATGAACCATAAACGGGATTATAACTGACTTATAACTGCTAAAGGGCCATAACTGTGGTTTCAAGATGTTTGAAGCATCCTAACTGGGAACTTGGTTGGAACAACAATATTGCAGGGATAACAAGCAGTCATGGGGAAAATCATGAACATATATTTGGTGGGTGCTTCTATATGTCTCCTATTTTCAACCATCGAAACGGGATGATGGCGAGCTCTACACCGCCGCAAAAATGTATCAAATGTGACTTGCAAATAGCAAACAACAACAGCAACAACAACAACAACAGCAACAACAACGTGGACAACAACAGCAACAACAGCAACAACAACAAACAACATGATTCCATATTTAATGATGTCCAACAGTAAAATATATTTCTATTATATTGCTGAACTTGGAGCTGCCATTTTTTTTTTCTACAGCCATAAGAGGTAGGGACTGCCATCTAGCCTTCAATCTTCATATAAGAAACTTGTGAACAATTACTTTGGGCATGGGGTGAAAAAAACACCAGCCAGTTACGAATTGAGAATGAGGACCCCCAGATGATTGAAGGACATACTCAACGGCCCGTCTCAGCATCGTAGCATCTTCAACCATACAGTTTCAGACCTGTTGCCTGTTTACTGGTTTCAAATGCACGCGGTATTATGTAACTACCTTACATCAAATAGGTAGATTCGTCAAAGAAGAAAAAACATATATAATTTATGTTCGGATTGTTTGAACCTCCAGGCAGTTACCAACTGTAGCCATGCCCAACATTGTTTGATCTACCGTAGCAAAGCCCTGAAAATGACAATTTCCAGTCAAGATGGGCGTCAGGCGTCAGGTAGATTACTTCTATTTCTATAGAAATCATCATAATTAGGCTCTGCAGTTATGGCCCGAAATACCAGTTATAAGTACTAGCAAACCCCCATTTATAGAATGTATAATCCCATTTATAAACAGTTATATACAATAAATGAGTGGGTACTTACAAATTCAGATCTACGGGTGATCCATTCTTCCCATTTTTTTGGCAGTGTGCTACATGTTTCCATGTTTTGGCGGCCAGCTGTGTGAGATGCACCAAGTAATCCTCCTACCCTTCCATCAGACTTTTGCCCGAGGTTGGCCTATGTGAATTTGCCAGAGGAGACTGCGATGCTGTTGGGACTAAATGGATTCAGTCGTCGCCAAAAAGATGTTAATGGAAATTCGGAAATGCAGTGCATAAGACAAGCAAAGTACTTTGGCCTGCGGTTCGCAGATTTCCTGGTGGTTTAGATATGTTTAGAAATGGTCGATTTTCTGTGGTTTGGGATAGCGGATAGCATTCTCACCAAGTTTTTGGTATTTTGGGTATTTACCACAAGCCGCTACTTGTGTATATTTTTTTTCCAACTTAGCTAACTATGGGCACCCTGTATATGTTTTGTTTCTTTTGAAAGCTTTCCCTTGTCACGGATGCCCGCTGGTTCTTTCGTGCCTTCAGCAGCATCTTAGAGAGCAGTCTTCGGCAATTCGAGTCCCGGGCATTTGTAGAAACTATACATATATATATATACACGTGTTTGCATTGGTATACATTGATCATTTGAAATTTGAACTGATTTAATTATCAATATTTTGCTAATCAATGATCATTTAGTAGTTTGATGTAGTCTGGTGGTAGTACTCGTAACTGTTGCAATATAGAATTTCAATATAACAGCAGTCAATACTATTAGTGCAGGACTGCTCACTCCCGAAACTAGTTGGTAACTTTATAGTTCATCCAGTGACTGCACTGAAATGGCAAGTTACAGGATGAGCTCCAATCTATGGGTCATACTGCAAGAGGGTCATTGAGGTTATGGGTTGCCATAGATGATGCTTACCAGGGGAAATCGTCTTAAGTGGTTCATGTCCGGCTTAGGAATCATTATAATTCACCCAAATCAGATTGATTTGTATCCATTGATTTGCTATGCGTTATTTCTTTTCTCATTACAGACATTTGTTATTTGTTCAGTAGTCTCAATTAAGCAATCTAGGTATCCCATAGAATATCCAACATTGCTTATATTAAACCCATCATTTCTGGTTTCGATGATCAGGAATAATTTATATATAAGATTATATAATATGACATATGTTTATATATATATATAGATATTACAGTATACACATCATGTATATTAGTTTGATCATCACCACACATAATATATATATACATATCATTATATATGTCACAAAATTTATTATACATATATCATTATACATACATCATCATCATCATCATCATCATCATCATCATCAACAACATATATATATATATATATATATATATACAATGTGAGCCCCCCCCCAGTTATAAGTTGGTTTATAAGCCCAGTAACTAGTTATAAGTACCATAGACCATAGCCAACTTAGCTATCTTGGGGCCTCACATTGTATACATCATCATCACCACACACATAATATATATATATATATATGTGTCACATAATTTTATTATACATATTACATATATCATTATAAATATATATATACACACATGACCATCATTTCGATCTCCCCGGTGCACTGGCAGGACTTTGGAGATCATCCCAAGGGGCGTCAGAATGGCGGCCGCTTAAGGCGTGTAGCCGTTGTAACCGCGTGGTTTTTCGGATGCCTAGGAAATCCCCAAGGGATACACGGTGAAAACATGTGAAAACATGGTGAAAAGCCATGCAAATCACCAGTTCTTAATAGATGCTTATCAGATGTCATAAGATATCATAGGATGTCATAAGATGTTATAAGATGCTATAACTGGGATGATCATGAACCATACATGGGAGTATAACTGGTTTATAAGTGGTAAAAGGGCCATTACCATAGATATTTCAATGGGATAATTCATGAACATCATATCATATGGTTCTGAGCCCCATAAATTGAGATATAACCAGTATCAATTGGGCGCCTGAGCCGCGTTCTAGCCCTGTTGCATTGGTTGATGATTAGTTCGGGGGTACTACCCAATCTGAGTTGGGAATCTCATGCACTGAGGACATTTCGGGTTTTTGAACATCGCTTGGGATGATGGGTGTAATGGGGAGATTTTAGGGGATATCTGATACACGACCTAATTACATATCATATACCAGAAACTCGTTGACAAATGTGGCGATTTTTTTCACGTGTTGAAACGACGCACAAGGAGCTAAAAACCGGTATTTACACATATGTTGAGTCTCCACTCCTTGAAGCCTTCGTAACTGAGTTCCACCATGGGGAACTCTTGGGACCGTCTCGGCCCAGTGGATACCCGACACCAAGAAAGGAGCCATGGCTACCCAGTTGCGCATAGTTGGGATCTCCAGGTTTCTGGCGAGTTTACACGTGAATACGTTCATATCTGATTGGTGGTTTGGAACATGGTTTTTATGACTTTCCATTCAGTTGGGAATAATACTCCAATTTGACTTTCATATTTATCAGAGGGGTTGAAACCACCAACCAGATATTCAGATCTAGCCTTGAATACTGTGCCACTTACTTGATAGATTACTATCTACATACTATGGACTCGCCTGACTATCCAGATACATAAAAAGGTTATTACTCAGTTATTGTTTAGATAGACATGGATTCTTGCCTATTCACATCTATGACATAAATAATATATTTATATATACTGTAGTATATTGATGCATATTGTACATATATATATATATACACATATTTCTATGTGTCAGTACTTCAGTTTTACCTAGATGATGTTGGAAAAAAAACGTGTATATATATATATATAGATATATATGTACATCTTATCCACTTCCCTGCATTTTCCTGTCACCGTGAAGATCTCCAGGTGCTACGTGAACACCAAACGTGGCGACCTGAAAGGCGATACGGCACGTGAGCTCAAGGAGATTTAACTGGGACCTGAAGGGGTTTATACGGTTCTCACCACAGAAATATGATGGAAAACTCGGGGAAATGAAGGGAAAAACCATTGATTATTTAGGGGAAAACCCCATGGAAAGTGAAGGGCAAACACTATTATAGGAAAGCCCTGAACATCCATTGCTTCGTCGCAACTTTCCGTATGACAATGGCAGTTTTGGTATACCAGATTTTGAGAGACAGCCAAAATAAAAAGGATGTAACCAGCGCTGGAATGGAGATGCTTCACCACAATTGGGTTTTTACCCTCCGGTGTGTTAAAAAACATGACTGGGAAATCCCTTTTTTCAAATCCATGGATCCATGGCCATTTCAAGGGAATTCCATGGATCGACAACAATGTGGTGGATTGTCCGACTTGCCATGTTTGAAAAAGCCATGGATCCATGGGTCTCGCAAGCTGGAAGCCAGCTGAGGTTGGAAACCAATAGCCAGCTGGAATGGAAATGCAACGAATAAGAATTTAAGCCGCAAGAATAGGGGATTCAAGACATGAAGGCAACATCGTAATTTTAAAACACACACTATCACTTTGAATTTTGATGAATTGGAGCGATGTCAAACCATCAATCATCAGGATAGAGCCAACAATCATGGATTCGTTGGAAACCTCCGTCGTCGGACCGTGCTCAGTGCACCAAAACGGCCCAACACGTCGGCTGTTTCCATTTTTGCGGGTCAAGTAGCCATCACGAACTCCCAGCAATGCTGCAATGGTGGTCCAATTGATTTAGTCTGGCTTTAGAATCCTTCAACCCTTATACCCTTAGCATCCCTTAGCATCCTGTATTCTTACCTGACAACAGACACTTTCCTTTTTCCTATTTCTATCACTGTCTATTTATCCAATTCTCCCATCAAAAACGGGGCTGGACAGCCGTTGCCAAGTTGAATGAAGGTAGGCCTGTGTCGCACATGAATACAACTAAGACAAATTACGATTTAGCCGAATTGCATCTAAATACCAGTTATACTTATCACATTGTTGATGATATAGTGAAAGATATTGAGATGACTTATATGCTAACCAGTCACTAACTCCTCGATTTCGCTATAAATCGTATATTGCTAACAAGTTCAGTATAGAACCATTTTGTGTCCTGCCATGAAAGTGTTTTCAATGTGTATATGAAGCATATTGCTACAAATGGTGTACTGTCAACCCTGGATTCAAAAAACCCTAGGCTGTTTAATGGGGGGATTACCAATTTTATAAGTATCATATATTATCACTATTTGGAGGGTATTCACATAATTGATAAACCATGGTTTACTACTGTGGGGTCGGCATTATTGTCTATAATGTCATCCCAAGTATGTCTCTTCCTTCATTGATTGGATGTTACATGATGTTACTCTTGGGTACTACGTTGATTTGCCCTGACGGATTACCATTGCTAAAGTCAGGGCATATTATACATAGAATTAAATACATAGTAAATATCAATAATTCCTCTTGGGCATATCTTAATATATATACATATACCCATAAGATCCATGGTGCTGGTATATATACTAACATAAAGGGGGTATATTGATGGGATCCATGTTAACATATATAGCATACATGGATCCTATGGGATATATATATATATATTAGTATCCAACAAGAATCCCTATTCCTATTGAAACGCATCAAGTCCGTTTTCAGGAATTCCCCCGCGGGACTTGGAACCTGTCGGCGGCCGTGCCGTGATCTTCCGATCCAAGGAACTCCTACACGAGGCTTGGGAGGTTGGGTGGAACTGAGGGATATTTAGATATACCCTCTGGTAATTTAACATAGCTATTGAAAATGGCCATTAATAGCGGATTTTCCCATTAAAAATTGTGATTTTCCATGGCTATGTTAAATAACCAGATGGTATTTAGGATATTTTTCCTGGCAATTGACCTTGAGATTTACTGATTTAGCTATCTGAAATGGTGGATATTTAGCTGGCAATTTACCTGAAATTAAGATTTACTTGATATTTACCTGGCAATTGACGTGGCAAAACACTGAAATTTACCTATCTGAAATGGTGACTCAGCCATGGAAACTGGTGAGTGAACCATGAAAATTGGTGATTCGACTCTCGACAATACGGATTTAATCGGATTTAGTTTGGCCAAAAATAGACATTTACAGATTTTAATGATCAAATATGGGGGATGTGTTCTATCTGTGCATTGTGGGATCGAACCATCGCCTTTGGGTGTTGGGGGATTTATGGTTCAACTAACGAACATTCGGGTAAAAGCACAACCGCCATGCGGACATCATGGGGAGTGTCTTGAGGTGTGACCGATAAGATCATTTGGGTTTGTCCAAAACTGGCTGCTTTCCCGGGTTTATGGCACTTCTTTATGAAGATCAACGATGAGATGGACAGAGTTTCCCTATGAAAAAGACACCAAGGGGATGGAAGGTGTTTGGTGATGTCTAAGGTGGACACATTTTCAAGCATGTTCATTTTAAGAGCTGTCTTGGGGTGCTAGATGATGTGGGCAACAAAAATGCCTGTGAAGACTGGAACGACTGCGATTTTTTTTGAAGCAAAGTGATTAATTGCAATGGTGTAAAGTATTTACCCTCTGGTAAACTGACATAGCTATGGAAAATCGCATGTAAATCAACTATGATGGACATTTTCAATAGCTATGTTAAATGTATATATCGTTTGATGATTACATATATGTTACTAATTTTACTTATGTTTGTTGTCAGTCTTGCAAACAAAATTGAAAGTTGGAATGTTCATCCCCGCCCCCCGCCCCTATGCCAGTGTCTATCTCAACAGATCTCAAGAAAAAGTCGACAACGCTGCCAGCTGCGCTCGGAGGTGCTCCCAAGCTTTGGGCGACGCTATTGTTTGACCTTTTGGATCTGTACGCCGCACTGAAAAAGCGCCGCGGAAAGCTCGATGAATCGAGCGAAAAATCTTGGAGGAACAGAATTGAACATTGAAAGTAGGGGAATAAATGGGGCTTTCCATAAATGGGGTACCCAGTAGCTGGATGGTTTATAAGGTACAATCCTACTAAAATGCATGATTAGGGGTGCCCAATATTGATAGAAAGTAAAGTGCCAAAAAAGACTGCGTGACTGAGATGCTCGATTTTGATTTGGAGTCCTTGCCAGGGTATGGGTCAAAACTGGGCCCAAACATTGATGGTTGATACTAAAGATAGACGAAACATTTGGTGGTTGCGTCTTGAATTTTGACCCATCTCTATTTGTAGGATTGTAGGGAGTTTGGAACAGCTTTCCCAAACTATGTCCATTGGAGATATCAATGTGTCGGATTTTCATTTGTAGGTTTTGTTCAATGTTTCTTGAAGGAGTTTCCGCTTCAAATACACAAACAAGTGATGTTGAAAACTACCAAAAAGAATCCAAAAAAAAACTATCTTTGGACACCATTTCAGGAAGCAAGGAATTTGCATGACAGCTGTTAAATGGCCAAAATTCGGACAGTCAGTACCTACCACAACTGGGATTGTCATAAAAAAAAAAAATCATGAAAATCATCTGGTCATGAGAAACTGATGATTTGAATTACTCAGCGAGATGAACTCAGACTGGTGCGTTTTACGTAGGGTTGCTGGATGGGTTGCTGGGGGTTGCTGGGATGATTATGAACACAGTTAGCCAGTGGATCATTCCCGTTAAAATTCCCTACGTCTTACGTCTCAGCTCCATTGGTTCAAAGGCACGTCGAAATCGATTCGCAGGCCACATTGCACCCGCGCAGGAGGAGAGAAAGATGGGATGGGATAGCGCAGTTTATCACATGAGCATCGTTGTTTAGATTGATGTTCTATTATCTGTTGGGTTTACTTCAATGGTTTAACTGATGGATATATGGTATAACATGGTATAACTGTTGGTTTACTGGAGGCTTAATATCGATCTAGTTTGAATTTCTGAGGGTAACAACATTCCAACGTTCACATCCCGCTGGGGTGTCCCACCCTTTGCCTAAGTCAAGTTGGTGAATGTTGCAGAATTCTCAGTTGAGTTATGAAGTTCTTGGATAAAACACGTTTTTTTTGTTTGTTGGGTGAAATTTGTTGGATAATTCTCAAGTTGTTGGGTGAAATAATGTTGTATTATGTTAGTTTTTGGCTGGGTGTTGCAATCTTTTGAATTCAGTTGAGTCATCTCTGAGAAATGACATCATGCCCAAGCACCAGGCCACATGACCAGCGCGGATCTTGCAATGCCGCCTGGGCTGGAGGTGCGCCACGGGTGTGTCATGGCTATGATGGCTATGATGGTTATGATGGCTATGATGGCTATGATGGCTATGATGGCTATGATGGCTATGATGGCTATGATGGCTATGATGGCTATGATTATATAATGTTATATAATATGATTTGATGAATGAATATCATAATTGCGTGTGATTTTGTTGCTATTTTGTTTGTGTGTGTGTTAATTCGAAGAAAATGTCATGATACTTATTATACTTATTATCATAATTAGCATCAATGTTTTTGAGACATCAAACACTACGATAAGATATGACTGAATTGATTTTGTTTTGGATGTGGTCTTGCACATTCATTATTGCTAATGTTTTGCCCAATAATATATATATATACAATATATAGTCTTGTATTATTTGTTCGTTGTCCTTTTTTAATTTGTTTTTTTGTGTCTTTGTTTCCTTCTGTTGATGGCAGTGAGCCGCTCGTGATGGCAGTGGTGCTGGAAATCCCCGAAAGAGTCAGATGTCAGTGGTATCTTGGCGATGATGGAGCCACAGCCGAGCATCCGAATATCATTTTGAACATGTTTGAAGCACATAGAATTGCAGATTCTCAGATATGTTTAGTGGTTCTCATTTCTATGCTTATTTGGTGTGTATATATATATGTACATGTGATTTGTGGCTATATCCACTTGTACCCCTCCAATCCCACCGTTTGGACAGATTACGGCAACCAAAATCATTGACCTCACCCTTCTGTTCAGTCAGAGAAATATCAAAAACAAAACCATATGTTTATAGATCACTCATTTTTTTGATCACTCAAATTTTATATAGTTCATGTACACTATATGTAAAAAAAAACATAGAGCATGTACAAAACCACAGTTCATCTACAAAAACTACTTGATTTATAACAAAAATCTTCGCCAGGGCAGCGGGCCAGAGATCTCACCCTTGGAGGTCGGGCATGGCTTGGGAGAATTCATCTGTGGTATACCCTTGGAGGTCTGGGCATGATTTGTAATACTCCTTGCCCCCTGGTTGATTTTATAGGGGACAGTTGATTATTGTGCATTCTACCAACTAGTGTTTCACTAGTGGTAATACCGGTGAAACATAGATCTTGATTAGTGACGTTAGTGGCATTTACGGCTTGTTTTGTGGTTTGGATTAATTTAGGTAAAACAAGCATCATTCCAGGCGTTCAGAAAAATGGGATTTAGCTCTCATCCCGGAGAGCTGGTTTTTATTGCGACAGAAACGCGGTGGATCTCTTCATTTTAGGTTTTGAACAATGAAGAAATTGGGGATGGGATATGTCATGGGGATGGGATCCTTATTTATCCATATTTAGTACCCTCTGGTTATTTAACATAGCCATGGAAAATTGCCCATTTATGGATGATTTTCCCAGCTATAAACCTCCATTTATAAGGGATTTTCCATGGCTATGTTAAATAACCAGGTGGTATATATAAATGTGAGTTAGTTGGAATATAACTGGGATTATACTGGCATACTATCCAGTGGCTAGGAAGCTATTGTAAGGAGCTAGTGAGCTAGTCATTTAATCGTATTCAAAATCATTCGAGCTGAGGCAGGCGGCAAAAAACACCTCTGATAACCCATAGAATCCATGTATGGTATATATGGTAACATTTACCATCAATATACCCCCAATGTTAGCATATATGCCATACATGGATCCTATGGGTAATGAAACATGTGAAACATGGCATCCTGGAAAATGTCCCATGTGCGGATCATGTTCCAATGAAAACCTCAAGGTTAGCGCGGGGATTTCCCATCCATGTTTGAAGACACTTCATGGCCCATCACTGGCGCGCCGCAAACGGACTCGTGTTTGAAAAAATCAGCCCAATGATTTCACCGACCCCTTCCCTGGAACTGGGGGTTAGAACCGGAGTGGCACTAAGTCACTAAGTCTGGATGAGGATTTCTCACCGCGGGTTGAACCAAATGCGACCCGGTCTCAGGAGATTCTGGCGCCACAGGCGAGCTTCATCGAGGACGGGCTGTCCGGAACATGGGAGGATTTTTGGTTTTCTGGTGGTTTGGAACACGAATTTTATGACTTTTCATTCAGCTGGGAAGAATAGTCCCAACTGACGAACTCATATTTTTCAGAGGGGTAGGTATACCACCAACCAGTTTTGCTTTCTCTTGTTTAGGTCATCGAACATTGGCCATACTGGCCATGGTTTTAACATGTTATAACAAGCCTAGCACAGAGGGTACCACCAGCAAAAACTTCTGGGCATTTTCTCAAAATGATGTCATCCACACTACATTAAGTTGAGGGACTCAGATGACGGTCCGACGGCAACTGAACCCAAAAGCCATCAGTTGAACCCAAACTCAATTTCAAGCATTAAAGATTGTGCATGACAATTTGGCGTCCCCAATTTCTGAAGACACCCCCTGTATCATTTTCCCACTCATATCAAATGTGAAAATTGAGGTTATATGA